CGCAGCTGCCTGACAAGGGCACCTGCGTCAGCACTGCGGCAGCCCAGGGCAACAACCTCAACGTGCTGGCGCCCTGTGTTGGCGGCCCCACGGTACGTTCTTGCCTCGTCTGTGGAAGGGGCGTTAGCCAGTGGTGATGGGCATCGTTCGTCTCGGTGCCCTTGCCACGCCAATGTTGATGAATGCGTGTTGCATTCAGCAACGGCGTGCGTAGAGCGCAGCTGTGGATTATGTTCTCCGAGGGTGTGTCGTGCGGTGACAATGAGTGCGAGCTATGATGTCAGCTTATGAGTGCCAGTGCTGCCTGTGATACACTTTGCTTAAGTAAGGGCGCGCACCGTCGACATGGTTTGCGTTCTAGATCTGTGTACCGAAAGTTGCGGGTACCGGTCTACTGCCTTCGTTCCTTGCGAAGGTCTTCGTTTTCAGGCTATTGTCGTCCGTTGTTTGGAAGTCTGGCTATGAATTGTCCGTTGCCCCTTACGCCCGTTCGCTCTCCCGCCCTGCTGCCCAGGCTGGATGCTGCAACACGGTCAAGGGGTTTGCGGGCCCGGGCTCAAATCTCTACCTGTGCCTTTGCTACCCGGACCTCTATAGCCAGCTGCTATCGGTCGTCAGCTCAAACCAACAGGCTCGTACCTTTGGAGTTACCGGATCCACTGTGACCAACATGTAAGTGACGGGCAGAGGGTTTACGGCAGATGGCAGGTGTCAGGCGTCCAGACTGACCCAGGGGTCACCCGGTGCAAAGTTGCTCTTGTAGCGCGCTTGTGACCTTGTACTCCACTGCTTTTGCCTAGTTCCTCTGCCTAGTTGCTAAGCTTAGCACGCTATGGGCACGTTGCGGGCTCCTTGATCCCTACCAGCCAACGACGCCACCGACATTACCTCACGTCGCGACACCGCGGGTAGTGCCTACCTTTGCACTTCCTACACTGCCACGCTGCCACATGCCTCAACGCCCAGCCGCTTACTCTGTACTCGAGAAGGTATTGCCCTTTGACCCCTTCCGCATCCTGCGAACCCTCCCTTGATCCCGCAGCCTGCAGTCCTGCGGTGTTCCCTTCGCCCAGGGCACCGGCGCTGCTGCATGCCCCGCCGGCGGCGGTGCTGCGGGTGCTGCACCCCCCGCGGCCGGCGGTGCTGCACCGCCCGCGGCTGGCGGCGCCGCGCCTCCTGCGGCTGCCGGTGCTGCACCGCCCGCGGCTGGCGGCGCCGCGCCTCCTGCAGCTGGCGGCGCTGCGCCTCCTGCGGCTGCCGGTGGTGCTACCTTCGCTGCACCCGTAAGTCCTTTCAAGGAACACGAAAGGTAGCATGGGCGGGGCTGAGCTTAAGTCCACAGTAAAGGGCCTTGAAACCCGACGTCCGCCTTTACCGAATACCGACAACAGAACAGAAGTGGGCATTTACCCAAATAGGATGTACAGCGGCGAAGTGGCAAAACGCAACGAGAGCCAAGCTAGGCTAATGTAACGGCTCCTGCCCGTTACAGGGGCTGCTGTGCCCCCTTTCCCGAGAATATGCCCTCTGCTTACCTCCGCTGCCGCTACCGTACGGCACAACTGACCTGCTTGGCGGTCATTCGGGCGGTGAAACCGTCTTTGTAGCAGCGGCTGCGCTGTGTTCTCACTTACACCTACTTCCATGACGTCCGCAGGCGGGTGGTGCGCCCTCCGCGGCTGGCGGCGGAGGCGGAGGCGGCGCTGCACCCCCCGCGGCTGGCGGCGGTGGCGGCGGAGGCTTTGGAGGTGGCGGCGGAGGCTTTGGAGGTGGCGGCGGCGGCGGCGGAGGTGGAGGTGCTGCGCCGCCCCCTCCGCCCCCTCCGCAGCAGCAGGGCTTCGACTACAACAGCAAGATCCAGGCGATGCAGGGCATCTTCAAGAGCTACTGCGACCAGAATTCCTGGCACCCCGCCTGCCGGAAGATCGGACGCCGCGCGCACTAAAGAAGTGGGAGGTTGGTCGGGTGGTTAGGGCAGTTAAGGTTGAGATTTCTGGCGCCCTACTACAGGCCTGAATAGTATGCCGTATGGCTTAAGAGGAGATGTGATTGGAGATGAATTGGGGTCATGTCGTGCTGCTGGTGGCATGTTGGCTTAAGAGGTGGGTGGTTGCTTACGCCTGTTCCTTTTCTGTGGACTGGGTTGGCATTGCAGTTGTAGCCGCACGATCGTCTTCCATTCCGTTGTTTCTTAAGCTTTTCACGGTTGAATCATTCCTGCATGCTTGTTTCGTACATGGCAGCTGGCATGCAGTTGGCGTGCCGTTGGAGACAGTTGCAGGCGTTTGATGTGTTGTGCAATCCAACTTGCAAATGCCCTCGCCGCTAAGTACGGCGGCGACGTAAATGCGCAGGAGCAGTAAAACGAAGCATGACGCGCACACTGCCTTCTCCACTTCCGGCTATCTTTTGCAATCCGGGGAGCTTATCTTCTTCCGCTGCTACAACATACATACGCTCGATACTATAGAGCTAAGGCCTAAGCTGTGGTACTGCAGCTTGGGTGGTTGCTAGTACACCTATTACAGTTTGCAGGAATGTGTGTATGCGTCTTTTAAGTTTAGTACTGCTCATACTGTCAATCCACGTGTGCTCTTAGTGGTATCGTTGATGATGGTAATAACAATCGTCGTAACCAACAGTGCCGTTGTACCAATCATTGGATACTGCATGTGAGGGTAGGGCGAAAACCGGACATGCAAAGATCGGTAGGTAGGTCAGGGTGCCTTGAACGTAATGGGAGATTGTAGGCCAGGGTTGCAAGGAGAAGAAGTATGACCCATGGGTCACGAGGAATAAACAAAAATTATTAAAAGAGCCTGTACCATTCATGGCAGATCCTCTCAGCTCACCGCTATGTGCGCCAACCCCATACTGTTACCGTTAAAACAAGGGATGCGCGCACAGGCAACCATTCAACACGCTCAAGACAGGCATGCAGCTCTCCCAACGCATTTGTTCATCATGATAAAAATGCTTGCTTGCGAGGATGTTTTAAGAAAACTGGCCGTAAAAATGTGTGTACGAGCATGAAAGCAGACGAACAATACACGGCATAACCCATGCCAGCGTAGGTATCATGAACGACATGCAAAATGGTTCGTAGTGCCTACCCATAAAATACAACAGCTATTGCCATAGCAGATGGTACATTAGTTTCAAGGCGCCGGTTGTACTAAACAGGACACCTCGCATAGGGCTGCATTGCATGTTGGGAGCTGAGGTAAGTCTAATGCCAATTGGTCCCCTACCCGCCTCTTCCATCTCTCCCTCTTATTCTTCAGTGCGGACAACAAACTAGCCCCTGCAAGTCACCTGCAGCTATAGCCGTGAACTGCCTCTCGTCCGTCCACCCAATCCTCCTATTACACCACCCTGATTGCACCAATACGGTTCCAGGGCCTTGTGCTCTTAGCTAGGTCCTCTATCTGCAGCCTACGTTCTCAAGCAGGACCCAGCAACGTGTTCAGCCCCACGCCCCCTCAGCCCCACACCCCCTCTTGTGGATTCCTTATGGTTCGGGATACTCTTTGACCCCCTCTGCCCCACGCCCCCTCAGCCCCACAGGCTGCCGTACGTGACGTAGGCAAACACAAGGCCCGCCAGCGGTGTCAAGATGAACAGCGCCCCGACAAGGGTGAGGATGTTGAAGGGTGAGCCGCGGTACTCGCTGCCGGCCCAGTTCTCACTGGGAGATGGCAATATGAAGATGGCAGGGGGATTCAAAGGACCTTAACTCGCTAGTAGTGCGACAGCGGAGAGAGGGCATGCTTATCACGCCCGTCACCATCCTTGCACATGTCGTCCTTGCACGTGTCGTATGCTAGGGAGTGACCTGCTAACAGAGTGGGTATGGAGGTCCAAAGGATGAGCGAAAGGCCGACGGACAGCGGTTGATGCATGGGACGCTGGGCCATCGGCGAGAAGTGGGCGGGAAGACGTTTAACGTGTATAACGTGGAAGGAGGACGCAGGTCCGTTCATCAATGCATGTGTGGGGCCAGCGAATCCTATGACGATGCACAGCCATGGACAGCCACCCGGCATATAGCAGCTACACGCTCATCTGGCAACAAGTTTTGGCAATCAGCATGCCCTCATTGGATTCTCACCAGCCCCTTTGTGCTTACGTGTACAGGTCCTTGCGCTCGCGCCCGTTGTTGGCGATGAGGTTGGCTTGGCGCCGATACTCTGCGCGGTATGAAGGCAGGGTAGGAGTATAGGGCACAGATGTATTCCTGCCTCCCCCGGCTATGCGTGTAGCCGTACTCTGGCGCGCTGGCTTTTGGGTACAGAGGCTGGCTGCCCCGCATGCGCCTCGATCAGGCCAAACCTGCTCGCCTAACGCGACAAGCTGCTGCGAATCGTTAGCAGTGTAGAAACCCCCGACCAACCCCAAGTGGGCCGCAGCCGCTGCACGGCCCAGATTTCAGCCAGGCAGTGAAGCGCAAGCAGTAGTAACCATAGAATTATATCACCTCGTAACGAGACGTATATTGTCTGACTTGTAAACTGAATGCGGCACCGCATTTAACACTGGGATGGGCCTACCCGCAAACGACCGTTGCGTACGCACCTATCTCCTCACGCACGGTCCGTGGTCGCGCAAGCTGGCGCGTTTTGGTGTACCAGTCGTCGCCATACTCTAGCGACACACCTCCCTTTGCACCCTTCTTTCCCGATGGCTTGTTGGCCCCAGCAGCGGCAACGACGACCAAGAGCCGACTCCGGATGGCGCCTGAAAAGTGGCCGCAAAGTCAATGTTGGTATGCTTACGGTAGAAAGCGACCACTCAGGAGAGCAGCGCCTAGCGCCATGGTAGGAAGTTGCATCTAGACTCCTACCCGGAATTGTGCCGGGAAGCACAGTGACCTGCGCGGACAAAGCCATTGTTGCAGCTTTACACAATAACCCTAGAAGCGACAGCGGTTTGGCTCGGTTGGTGGACATGCCGTACATATGGCCAACGTCGAAAGCCACCGTCTTTCGCTTGAGCAGAGGTTTGCGGCCAGTCGCAAGGAACTTGTAAGTGTTTTTTCACTTCGTCACAGATCACGCTGAAAGGTTCTTAAGCGGCAAAGTCCAACACCGAAAGCTCACAAAAAATGGGTGGAGGCCTAAACTTCCTAAATAAGAAAACATGGCATCCAGCGCGTCCTCAGAACTTGGAAGAAGTATGGAAAAGAGAGCAGAAGGCTGCGGCGGAGGCGAAAAAGGCGGAGGAGCTGCGAAAGCAGCTCGAGGAAGAGCGGAAGCGCAGCGAATTCGTGCAGATGGCAATGGACACAGGCCATTTAAGGTGCGCAATTGGCTATAATTCGTCGGAGCATCGTTGGGATCCGCTGACGGATTTGCAATTTCTAACCTGTAGGAAAGAGGAGCGCCTGGATTGGATGTACGCGAGTGGTCTGCAGGCAAAGCAGGATGCCGAGAAGCGGCGTGAGGACATGCTGACGGGCAAGACGGACGTAGTCGTAGCCCCAGAGCAGCGTGTTCAGGAGACCAGCCGAGTAAGGCGTGGCCAGCGGGAATTAGGCCAGGCCAGGGGGTAGGGGACGAAGGGTGGCATGGGAGCTTGCTCGGAAAGCCTCACACCTTACCAGCTTCCCGTGCAGCGGGGGGCAAAGCACAAACCCACCTCCTTGCATCGGAGTTACTGATCCGACATCCTTACCCCCTGCTCAATGCAACAGGTGGACCAGGTTGCCCAGCTGCCCTCCTTCTACACGTCAGCAACGCCTGCCTCCCAGAACGAGACGTGGCTGCGGCTGAACAACGACCCCTTGTTCGCGGTAAGCTCCCAGGCGTGTGATACCCACAAAGTCCCCTCCGCTTAAAAGCCTGCCAAGGTCTCCCCGTTGGGGTGGTCTGCCACGCTTCCTGCATGGCCCCGCCACGTCTTTATCCCCCGATCCAACATGCATGCTGAACACACATGGTAACCCCTAACCTCACCTGCTTCATGCTCACTTGCAAACCATCCTGCGCCCCGCCCCGCCGCCGCCCAGATCAAGCGGCAGCAGCAGGAGCAGCTCTCCAAGCTGAGGGAGAACCCCGTCAAGATGATGGAGCTGCTCAAGAGCCTGACGAAGGTGCGCTTGCTGACGTCGCACCCTAACACATTCTGCACTTGCCGACACTTAGGGCACAGCGTCGTACTATTGGGGGTTTGGAGGTTCGTTGACCAGACCCCATGTTAGCGCGTCACCTTCGTCAAGTGTCTTTCTTTTGGGGGCTTGGTCTCTTTTCATCCTTGGACGGCTAATGGAGATCTTTTCGTACCTGCACTGCTGCACAGGCTAAGGAGAAGGAAGACAAGAAGGAGAAGAAGTCGAAAAAGGACAAAAAGGAGAAGAAGGACAAGAAGAGCAGGAAGCGTGAGCGCGGCAGCGACAGCAGCAGCGAGGAAGAGGATGGCGGCAGGGCGCGGAAGCGCAGCAGGTATGGCATGGGAAGAGGGGCAGGAGTGGAGAGGAAACGGCATGCAACATACCACCATTCACGTTTTACCGATACAATAACATCCCAGTCCTTGGGTGTGAGGCCAGTGGGCCTCAGGTATCTGCGTGCCGAGTGTGCGCCTAAACGTGCCCGTGCTCCAGCTGTCCCGCTTCTATACCGGTAACACTCTCTCACCCTTCAGTTACCGTTTGATCAAACCATTCGGCATTACGGCCATCCGCAGGTCGCCACCCTCCTCGCCGCCACACCGGGGCGACCCCGCGGGTCGCGGCCTCGACGCAGCTCCCGGTCTGCGCCCCCAGCATGACCACCACCACCACCACCACCGGCAGCACCATCACGACCACGAGGAGTATGCCGAGCCACACCGCCACCAGCAGCACCCCCAGCACCCGCACCGCAGCGGCGGCGGCGGCCCGGAGGACCGTGCTGGCGGCGGAGGTGGAGGTTCGCGGTACGGCACCGCTCGCGGCAATCATGGCGTTGGCGGTGGTGGTGGTGATGACCGGGGTGAGCGGGAGCGGGAGCACGCGTACCGTGAGGACCGGTTGTACGACAGGGAGCAGCGGGAGCGGGAGTACGACAGGCGGCGGGACGAGCCGGGTGCCTCCCGTGGGGGTCGTGATGACGTCGACTATGACGATCGCCGTCCCGAACGCGGCGAGCTGCGCGGCGGCTCGGGGCAGCATGAGGAGCGGGAGGGGCGAGAGCGCAGGGAGCACGGACGGCAGGAGGACCGTGACCGTGACCGCGAGCGGGAGCGCGGCGGAGAGCGCGAGCGGGACAGGGGCCGGGAGAGGGAGCGAGAGAGGCGCGACGAGGGCGAGCGGCGTAGTGGGGGCGGTGCGGGTCGTGAGGCTTCCCCGGTCTGGCGGCAGGAGCGGGATGACGACCGAGAGCGGCGCCCGGAGCGGCAGCAGCAGCAGCTGGATGATAGGTCGGTAGCCGGGGTTGGTTGCCAGCTTCATGATAGTACAGCCCGGCCACCCAAAGGGTGGAAGGTCCTAGCGTGGGAGGGCTTGACCACTGCCCTGGAGGGCAACCGCGCACTGGAGCAAGGGGTGTAACCGTCCTATAGCCCCATCTGCGGAGAACACATGCCAGCCATGGGTTGGGGTCTCTTACACGGTCACAGCAACGCACTTGAAAGGGCCCATTGATGCATGGCTCACTCATGCCGCCACGAGTCGTCGCGCCCACGCATGCTGTACCCCCCCCCCATGCAGGTACGGCTTGAAGCAGTCTGCAGCGGCCCCGGCGGCGCTGCTGCAGGCGGACCTCAGCGGCCGTGCGGCGGAGACGCGGGCTCGTCTGGAGGAGGCTCGCCGCGTTCGTGAGGAGGAGGAACGCGCCAAGGCGGCGCAGCGGTACACGCGGAAGGAACACAAGACCGGGCAGATGACAGGTGGGGTGTCGAGCTGGGCGTGGGGGGATGCGGACTTGCCCACCGGAGAGAGGACCGGCGGCTGGTGACGTTGCTTGGCATAGATAGGGGCATGTGCATGACCGCCCCGTCGCTCGTACGGCTGCTATTCCGGCGGGTTGGGCTAAGGGCTGGTCGCTGGGCCTCCTCCATTTGCATGCCGCTAGGTATCCTTGGCCCAAGAATCCATGCTACGCTAGCTCCTACCCGCTGTCTAGTGTGCAGATCAAGCTCTGATACCATACCAGTTGCGTTCGATTCTTGCTAACCCCGTCCGACCTGCTTCCCCGCTTGCAGAGGAGGAGCGGCAGCGCCGGTTGGCTGAGATGATGGGCAACGCGGATGAGCACGAGACGCAGCGCAGGAAGCGGCTGGAAGCGGCGGCGGCGGCGGACGCAGCGGAGGCGGATCAGCGACTGGTCAACCAGGCGACTGTGGGCAGGGGAACTGACGCTTTCCGCGATGCGGCCGCGCGGGACGTGTTTTCCAAGCTGGGGGATTCCCTGGAGGCTCGTGTGAACAGCCGCAGGCATTTCAGCACTCGCTAGTGGGGCAGGGTTGTCGCTGTGGCCAGATTGCTACGTTGGATTGGAGTTTGCTGTTGGTTGGGTGTTGGCTATGAATGAGAGGTATGCTGTGGAAAACTTAATGCGATGTAGTGTTGCTCGGCTGGGTTGGATGACATTATCGGCACGGTTGCCGTCATTGCCCAATGCTCCGCGAAGCAGGGGAGTCCTCCCGAGTCTGTTGCTTGGAAAAGAACGCTTGCAACGGAGGAAGGTTAGATGGGTCCTGTTTTTTCGATCTGGACGCCGTATGTGGTATCCAGCGTTTGGCGAGGCAACCTGACATGCGGGTTGCGGGTGAACCTCCACCCCATCGCGCGGTCGACACAATTTACATGCAGACCCGGCATGCACGCATTTGCAACCGTAAGTTTGTAATGTGTGAGCTGTTGACAGCCAGCGCAGCCTCGCACACCAGTTGGGCAGGCCGGTACTCTGAAAACCTTTGTCAGCCATCATCATCGCCGTACGGTCGCATTGCTGTACATCAATGCGCACGCGCTGCGACATAGTGTTGATGAGAATTTTAAGCAATTTGATTGACGATTGCAACACATTTTGACGCCTGCTCGGCGAAATCTGCCACGGTGGCTGGCTTGCTCCGCCTCTGACGCGCAGGCTGGCCGTTAGTACAGCGATGTAGTTATTATATCTGAGTTTCCACAATGACTCTTGATTACGTTTCGGCTGTAGTAGGACAGAGGTTTACGGAAGCAAGCAAGGTTGTGGATGCTGCAATCGCGTCTTGCCGGCCCGATGATAAGCAAACGTTGGCACAGCTGCTGGTCAATAGAGGGTTTTGTCAGCAAAAGGTCCAACTGTATCGGAAGGCGCTAAAGGTGCGGTCGGCGCAATCTGCAGATCAGCCCGGATGACATGGGTTCTCGAAAAGCGACTGGGTCCTCTGTGCACAGGACTACGATGCTGCATTAGAGGCGGCTCCTGGCTTCCCCCTTGCCCTTTACCGCAAAGGGCAAGTGCTGTCTGCGCAGAAAAAGTTCGAGGTACGTGCCGCATCGGGTGGCCAATACGACGTGGTCCGCTCTGCCCTCACCAACTCCGGATAATGTAATTCACCCCCAGGATGCCCGCGCCGTCTGGAACGAGGCCTTGCAAGCGTGCTGCGAACGAAGCGACGTGCAGCTTGTGCTGGACATCAGCACTGCGTTGCGGGACCCCTCCGGCGTGAAGGTGCGTCCTCGCAGCCCAACTCCCCCAGTCGCTTAGGACATCCCATGAGGGCCTCACACTACCATCCAGCCGCATGCTTTCACTGTAGGGCCTTCTGCGCGCAAATCTAGGTTGGGCATTCCATGGGGTGTGTACGCGTGTGCGTCGGTATGGCTGAAGCAATGGTATGGCTAACATAGCCTGCGGGGTCAGGTTTCGCGGGTGTGGCAGCTGCACCTCCCACGGTGCCGCCGCCCCGTGCCTCCGCACAGGTGCATTCCGAAACGTCGCCGAGCAGCCGCACAACCACCTGCAGCAGCACCCCGAGCCCCATGCAGCATTCCGGCATCCTGGGAGGGAGGGCACTGTTTGGCATGCAAGCCCTGACCATCCTCCTGCTGGCCATTGTGCTAGCCGGGCAGGCCCAGCTGTTGCACAAGGTAACCCGCGAGGCAGCCGGGGGCATGCGCGCATGTGCCCTTGGAGCATGCCATCCTTGCAGCGACCCGATCCCTGCAGCAGCTAATAGTATGTGGCATTTTGCAGTTATGCCACATGAATCACATCGCATGGTGTGTAAAGTAAGGGAAGACAGTGAAGGACATGCAAGCGATGCATTACCCTGGCATGGCCGCAACTGAACGCCTGCCATGCGGCCTGTGCTCCCTCCTGCCCGTGCCCTGCCCTGTCCTCGGCTTGTGGCTTGTTGCGTGTAGGCGGGTCTGAGCGCTGTGGTGGGTCCTGCCACTCCGGATGTGTCGGCAGGATGTGTCAGCAAAGCACCCCATGCGGCGCAGGCGCCAACCGCCAACGGCCAGGTGAACCCCCCTACGCTAACGGCTTCGGCCGCAGAATTTAAAGCGCTTTTTAGTCTAGCTAGGGTACCTTGGCATAAGCCTAGTTCTTGCGAGGGTGGCGAGTTCGTATTGGCTGGACGAGTTCCGTCCAGCTCAATCACTTTGTGCGGTTCTGCTCTTCTCCCGCGCGTCCCTCCAACGTCCCTCTCCACCGCCACCGCCACCACCAGGTATCCACTTCCTCGGTAGCGGCAGCAGCCCCCTCCGCTGACGGCGTCGCCAGCCACTACCCTTCCAGCCCAGCCTCGGCATCGCAGCCGGCGCCGGAGCCCCCACGCTCCGGATCCACAACAGGGCCACCTACGTCATCCAACCGAACGGAGCAGCAGATGGGGACACCAAGCGGCAGGCCTTCTCCCGCTGGCGGGCATGCTTCCTCCCCCGGACCCAGCCATGCAGCTGCTCCCACCATCACCACCAGCAGCAGCAGCGGCGGCGCTGGCATGGCGGATGGGCGGGCTGTTGCTAGCCGCAGCGGTGGAGGCAGCGGCGGAGGAGAAAAAACTAGGGACAGCGTCGCAGGTCGTCCGCCGTCTGCAGCGGCGGGGGCGGGGGCGGACACGTGCAGTGGAGTGGAGGAGGTGGATTGCGTGGCGCAGCAGCGGGCGGCGCGGGCGGACAGGGGGGCTACAGCGTCCTCCTCCTCCTCCTCGGGCTCTGCTGCTGCTGCTGCTGCTGGTGCCTCAGGCGCTGCGGGGGTGGCGCCGGACGTGCAGACCATGTTGAACAACTCGCTAGCCATCCAGCTGGCAGTCACACAGGTAACACCACGCAACAGCACAACCGCGCAACCCTACCGAAACGCAACCCCCACCCCACAACCGCAATCCCAGCCCCAACATCAACCCCAACACACCAAACCGCCCCCCAACCCGCCCCCGGGCCCAACCCAGATTAACAACGGCAACATCCTGGAGGCGGAGGGCATCCTAGACAAGGTGCTCACCAGCTCGTCCCGGGAGCTGGGCGCACGCGTGGCGAGGGGCACCGCCCGGGCGCTGAGACGCGACCTGAAGGGTGCGATCACGCGACTGCGTGTGTGTATTAAGAAAACTGGCCGCGTGTGTGTATGTATGTCTATTGTTTAGCCCATTCACGATTTCCTATATTGGTCTATTTGACCCCCCCTCCTGTCCCTCCTGTCCCCCCAGGTGCCATCGAGGACTTCAGTGTGGCAATCGAGGTGGAGCCGCGCTACGCGGACAGCTGGAAGCGGCGCGGGCAGGCTCGCTCGGCGCTGGGGGAGCACGAGGGCGCGCTGGGGGACCTGCAGAAGGCCATCGACCTGGCGCCGCTGTTTGGGGGACCCGACTCGGCCACGGTGGGATCGGGGGGGGGGGGGTAAAAAGTGTGGAAACGGTGAGGGGTCTAAGACCATGGTGGTGCGGGCATTTTTTACATGCACGGTGGATCCCATGCCACTGCTCCCCCTTCACCCCTCTTCACCCACACAAACGCCCAAATCACCCACACAAACCCACACAGAGTCGCGCCGAGTGCTTTGTGGAGAAGGGCATGATCTACCAGAAGCTGCGCGACTACCGGCGAGCATGCCGCGAGATGCAGCAGGCGGTGCGGCTGGACGGCAGCAACCCCGCGGCGTGGAACGTGCTGGGGCTGTGCGCCACCAGTCAGGGGGACATTCGGGACGGGGTGCGCGCGTACGAGCGAGCGGTGGAGCTGAACCCGCGGCTGAAGGAGGGATGGGTCAACATGGGGCAGGTGAGGGCGGGGCTGTAACGTCGAAAGGCCCCTATGGCATCCCGGGTTAGGCCTTTTATAATATCACAGGGGCGGTGCGGGGCGGGGCGTGGGTTGGGGATGAAACAATGAAGAAAGATGTGATAGCGGCGGAGTGGATTCTTGTAAAGGAAGGTGAAGGGAAGGAGCCTCAATGACACGGTAAGAAGCTGTGAGGGATGAGGGGGCTGCCGCTGCACCTACCTTCTTCCCCGACCTCACCCTTACCACCGCGCACCACCTGCACCCTCTTCCCGACCCCCCGCAACCCTCTTCCTCAGTTTATCTAATCCCCCCCTCCTCAGGCGCTCAAGGAGGAGGGCCGCACCAAGGAGGCGGAGCGCGTGCTGCTGCGCGCCCTCAGCCTGGACCCGCCCGACCAGCCCTCCGTGCACGTGCTGCGCGTGCTGGCGCAGATGAAGCAGCAGAAGGGCGAGCACGCGGCGGCCATAAAGGTGCTGGACCGGGCACTGCCGCTGGCGGAGGCACGTGGCGAGCAGGTGGGTGGGGTTAGGTTGGTTGGTTGGTAGGCGGGTTGGGTTGGTTGCAACCACCACCTCTCTTTGGGTTCCTCTCATCCTCCCCCACGCACCCCTCGACATGCAGTTGTACAGCCTACAACATATACAGCCCGTTTCGAGTAACCCTTTCTTAACCCACATTACACATAATTGGGTGCCCGCATAACCCTCACCTGCCGCCCCAGGTGATTGAGGTGCTGTACCTGCGAGCCATCTGCCACCATGCGCTGGGGGCGGTGCGGGAGGCGGTGCGGGACTACGAGGAGTGCCTGGGACACATACCCAAGTGGGTTGGCGCGGCGGGTGTGTGGGCGGGGGGCGGAGGGGGATATGACATGGGTGTTGTTTAAGGGCGTATGGGGGTAATGTCCTGTCACCGCTGCTGCACCCTAGATGGGCTTCTTCCTCTTGTTCTCAAGGCAGAAGGGCAGCGGTTGGTTCTAGGATAGGAAATCAGCCTTAGGCCTCAGCTCTTCCTCAAACCGCCTCCCCGTCTCCACTTACTCCGCAGCCCTTCCCTATACCCATTCCCGTCTGCACTCACTCCGCCCCCTCCCTCCGCTCGCTCCCTCGGCCACCCCCCTCCCTCCCTGCCTGCCTACTCCTTTTCCTTCTTCTTCCCCCCCAGGAGCGGTGTGGCCAACGTGAGCGAGGAGGCCCGGCAGTTCCAGTTCCTGTCCTTCTACCAGAAGGACATGGCGCTCTACCTGTACCACTCGCTGGACCGGCGGGCGCTTGACTTCTGCCCCGACTCGGAGCTGCCGGCGGTGTTCAAGGTAGGCGGTTGAACTAGCGTAACTAGGTACAGCCATGAGGAAACAGAGCTACGGTTACACCTGTTAGATAGGGGGTGCGAGGCAGTGCAGAGCACTTGAAGGTACCGTCGGCGCCCCGCTCCACCCTGCAGCAACAAGTTCCCACCCTGCCTACATGCTATTGTTGTGCTACCCCAGCCCGTATTTTGCCCCTAACTCACCCTCATACACGCATGCTCCCCCGCCTCAGGAGCTGTGGTGCAAGAAGGGCCCGCCCACCGCCGAGCTCATCTCCAACTACCCGCCGCAACCGCCGCTGCCGCTGTCGCCGCCGCCGCTGCCGGCGGGTCCGGACCCGGAGCGGCTGCGGGCGCTGACGTCCCTGGCGGACCAGCTGGGGGTGCTGCTGCAGAACAACCACCAGGTGCGCACTACTGCAGCGTACTCGCAGCGTATTGGTAGCTTAGTTGCAAAAAGTACTGCAGCGGCAGGAGGGGGAAAAGAATGGGATCAAGTATTATGTACAGAGGCAATCCCACTCTCGCTTGTCAGACCGCGGCGGTTTAAATTTCAAATTGTCCTCAACTGCCCCTCCTCCACTGCTCCCGCAACTTATTCCCCGCAACTCCCTCCCGATCACCGCCAACCACCTCAACAGGGCTTCCTGCCCAACATACGGCAGCAGCGGGCCGCTGGCTACGCGGCCATGGAACTGGGTCAGGCGCTGCGGGAGGTGGTGGCGGCGCGGCGGGCGGGGCGGCAGCACTGGGTGCGCAGCGAGGGCAGCAGCGGGCAGGCGGGCAGTGCGGGGCGGCACCTGTTCGGCTGGCGGGATGCCATGGACATTGTGGTCAAGTGGCGGCAGCTGTCGGAGCCCAATGACCAGGTACGGCGGAGGAGGTCGAGGACCACGCCCCGATCCAACACCTTCATCATTATGTGAAATTGGTCTGTGTGCAAGTCGGTTGGTGGATGGGGTTGCAGGCCGCTGCGCACTTGTGCATAATGGGCCAGGAGCGGCTCCTTACCCAGTCCTCCTCCGTCCTCCTCTGTTCTCCTTCTGAACTTCTCAACTCCTCAAGTACTCTTCAAAATAACTCAAGTAACTCTTCCAGTAACTACGCCGCCGCCGCCGCCCCCCCGCACCCAGGTTGTGTGGGTGGACCTGCTGACGCGGCGCGAGTTCGAGCAGGGCTTCGGCTCGCACACCCCCATGTTCAGCGGCCAGACCAAGTGCGTGCGCTACTACATGAACTTTGGGCGCGCGCTGGCGCTGCAGCGGGAGGTGCTGCTGCGGGAGGGGCACGCGTTCGACGCCAGCAACCGGCCCATCCCGGTGGGCAGCGATGCGCAGCGGGAGGCTATTCGCGCGGCGCGCACCGCTGAGGACATGTACCACGTGGTCCAGTGAGTTCGGTGATGGGGTTGTAGGAGGTTAGGTACTGGGTTGGAAGTACCTGTAACGAGCCCCTTCCAGCTGATTCCTCTTCCTCTGTATAAAGCAACTGGCCGGATCCCGACTCAAAAGACTACCTTCCGTCTCCTCCTCTGCACCCATCCCCGCTCCCTCCTACATCCCTCCCCAGGAACGACAGCTGGGTGGTGGTTCCCATCCACAGCGTGGCCCGTCCGCAGCACATGCTGGAGGGCACGCGGCTGACGCTGGTGCGCGTGCCCAACCAGCCGGACGCCTACGAGTTTTCCATCCGCACGCCCGTGACGCCGCCGCGCTGGAAGGACTTTGACGCGGAGCTGGAGGCGGCGTTCGAGGCCATCCTGCAGGCCTTCCTGGAGGGTGGGTGAGGGTTGGGTGGGGACAAAGTAAATGATAAAGTGCAACAACGGGAGTCCCAATCCCATATCCCGACACATGCAGTGAGCGCATTCGGGGGTTGGGTGGGGAGGGAAAGCTACGGTAACTACCGGTATCGTGCAGGGTGGGTGGAGGTGTAGATGGGGGCCGGAAATTGTTCCGAATAGGAGTATGGGAGCAAGGCAGGAGGCAGAGGGCGGTTGAGGAAGGGTGTGGAGTGGGATTCCACGCTGACCCAAATGGCTTATGTGTAGCTTATGGTAAGCCGGCCTGGAGCATTGCTAATCCCTTAACATTGTGCCTCCTTGTCTTTCTGTTGTCGCTGTTGTTGCGCAGAGGACCTGCCCAAGCTGGCGCAGCGCATCCTGACCTACTGCTACTACTGGTACAACTTCATGCCGCTGGCGCGCGGCACGGCGGCGGTGGGCTACACCACCATGCTCAGCATGTTCTGGGCGGCGGGGATGCCGGTCACCGCGGCCATTCCCAAGGACTATCAGGTGTGGCTAGTAGGTGGAAGGCGCTGAAGTGATGTGGGAGCGATCTAAGCTTTCGTTGTCTTTCTGCCTTACTTCTGTGCATCGTGAAAAGGCTTGTCTTTGGTGAGGGGTTCTGGGGCGCACTGCGTGAATATCAGTACCTGGCCATGGATGTAAGTTGGGCTAAGTGCTCCTACTGCTGTCATTTTGCAGGTTGACTGGGAGGCTATTCTGGCGCAGCACCCGGACCAATTTATTGCTTCCGTGGGCGCGTGGTTGTACCCGCCGCAAGCTCGCGGCCTGCCGGCTGAGATGGGCGATGGTAGCAGCAGCGACAAGCCGGTCTTCCCGCCGATGGACGCGTTACCACCAGTCACGGAGGTTCTAGGTACTATCCGGCACCGTCTTATCGCCCTGAACGGCGAAGGGCCCAAGCGCATCGTATAGAATGGAAGGATGCTGCACACGGCAGTTGGTTGTGGACATATGCGGCGACTAGGTTCGTGCCTCGGCGCAGTGTAATAGGCTTTGTGTTTCATGCGATTCGACAAGTTCCTGGCAGCTGGATGGGCAAGGCAAAGGCAGGATGGTGGTGACTCGGCGCCGTAACTATTCGTATTCCTCATTGAAATTGTAAGTCTTCTGATCTAAGTCTTGTGATCAAGAAGAAGAAGACTGGCCACAAAGTACTCATAACTAAATTATTGTATTCCACACATACAACAAGGACCTTTGAGGCCCTGCTAGTCCTAACCTTCCTGCCTATTTCAAGTCCACCTTGCACACAACCAAGCTTGCATCTTACTACTACAGCTTTTCTATTGTAACCTTTTTTCGTATACAATGGCTTGCTGCTGTGGAGAGGACGAGACAGAAACTAAGGAGGTGAGGGGGCTGTGAAGCACCCGCGTCCCTATCCGTTATATAAGCAGCAACGTACAAAGGATAGAGGCTGTCAGATGAACAATTTGCTTCACCTGTTAACCGCTTACTGCCATGCTTGGCTACGCAATGCCTTCCATCCGTCCGCTGGGCTACCCCAAAGGAACGGCCAGATATTCACCTAATGTTGCACGGCATGAACATTCTTGCAGGGACTTGTCATCAACAGGAAGTGCCGCGATGTCCTGTGTCTGCTCTTCTTCGGCGCGTTCTGGGTCGGGATGTTCATTATATGTGGAATAGCATTTAGAGACGGTAGGTTAGCTCTATACACGTTGGGGAAAGGTGTTATCGCATGGGGAAACCCCCGTAGGTGCTGCTGATGTTGCATGCCAAGTGAGGAGGTTGCGTCCGGTAACCTCCCCACATCCATTATATTCCCTTTTGCTTCATCATTTTGCAGGCCAACCCAACCGGCTCTTATATGGCGTTGACTCCTATGGAATGACGTGTGGTACAAAGAATACCCTCTTCAACTTGACCTTTGACCTGACGGACGCTAAGAACATGCACTGGCTCAAGTAAGTCCCCTTCATAACGCCCCCCCTTCGCGAAACACGGACCCTGAACTCACCCCCTCCTATCCTCCTATCCTAATATTGGCAATGCATCTTCTTCCTGGTAGCCCGCTCGACCTGCTAAGTTCGACGGGGTTATTATACGCCAAGACGGTATGCGCCACGAGCTGCCCCGGGGCAGCCCGTGTATGCTCAAGCGACAATCTGCCTTGCTACAATGGGACCCAATTCATGTGAGTTCCCGCTACCTACTAAGGTGCTTTGGCACTCCTCCGGGTTGGGGGCCCTGTTATCTTTTTGCAGCCCTGCCCCAGCACGCAACAGCTAGTAACATCCCTACCTGCACGGTGACAGGTGCCCGTACTACCGGTTTGCGGAGGACGGCCTCTATGGAAGCATTCCTGGAGTGGCCAACACAAGCACCATGTACTTCGACGATTTGGCACGGATTACCAACATCACGGATTCAACCGCGGCCTCTTACGTGTCGGTGGGTTCTGGTTACGGCAGCGATGCAGTGCTGTGATGGAAGCGCGTCAATGGGCGTTGCCTAGCACTAAGGATTAGGAGATGGACCGCATGCGGTGAGGCCCTGGTCCTCGTGCACATTTTCGCTCCCCTCTAGTGCAACACGGGGATGAGCAGCATGGGCACAAGTACTTGGCATTCTCCGACTCCGTCATCAACGACAATTGTTGCCATTGGTATCTGCAGAAAATTAAGAGCCTCGGCGGAGTCTTTACGACGGAGGCCACGGCCCTCCAGAACAACCTCACGGGCAAATACTACCAGATGAAGTCGGAGTTCCCTGGAAACGGGCCCTGCTACCCTATTCTGTTTGAGACCGAGGAGTTCTTTTACAGGTGCGGCATGCTGAGTGGCGACGATGCCGTGTCCCGCGAGCGCCTGAGAGAGCCTCAACACCTCTTGCAAGCTGCCGATGTCAACCTGATACGCCGTTTGCCCTGCATAGGTGCTTCCCGAACATCCCCTCCAACGTTACTTCCAAGCTGACCAAGGCGGTGGCTGGTGCAGTGAGCTCGACAGTGGATAGCTCTGCGGTCAAGAATGTCGCTAAACAATGGCAGAGCAGCAGCCAGCGATGGAGCCGCTACGTGGGTGACATCAGCCGCGGCGTGCTCGTGATCGTGATTGGCGGCCTGGTGGGCGGCTTGGTGCTCTCGATGGTGAGTGGCGGAGTGTGTTGCGGGGTGGAACGCCTGTCATACACAGCAGGACATGATTGGGCGGCACCACGATAGCGTCATCCGGGCACTGCGGGGGCGTTTATAGAGAGCGTGTGTATGACCCCGCCGTTATGGATGGGGCGTGGATTACGAGCTGGCGGCTACGCCTTGACAGGGCAGTGGATGCCGTGCTGGCTATCCACACTAATGGGATCACATTACCAAGAATCCTCTTGCACCTGACATCCCATGTCTCTTCTTGGTGTGCAGTTCTGGCTGCTGATCCTTCGCTACCTCGGCGGCCTGATGGCGTGGCTGGCCATCCTGTTTGTGAACCTCGCCTGCATTTTTGTGTGCCTCTTCACCTGGGTCAAGGCAGGATACATCAGCAACAGCGCTGTTGGCCAGGCAAGTTGACCCTGAGTAGCATTGTGGCCCAATATCATACTAAATTGTTACAGAGACAGGACAGGAATATGAAGAAATTAAACCGGACCAGCGTGCCGAGAGCCTCCAAGCTGTGCCACCGCCCCTCTGGCCTCTGCTGCTGTGGCCAGGGCTGCCCCTTCACCTTGCTGAGATTGCTTGTCTCACATTGCTACCCCAGGAAATCTTGGATGCGCTGCCTGTGGATATCAACCCAGCGGAGAGCGAGCGGAAGACATGGTTGTATATTGCGATCGGCACGTCAGTCGTCGCGGGGCTTGTGCTCCTAATTACGCTGCTATGCATCACGCGCATCAGGATTGCAATCGCTTGCATTAAGGTGCGGTGCATTGTCGACATGGCTGCCTCTCAATCTTAGCCTTCGCATGGGCATGGGTCGAATGGCGTTCCTGCCCCTGTCTACATCAGGGTCTTCGCCTTTTATGCCCCTTTCCACGCTCCTAAACACGCACGCGCTTGCCGCCATTGAGCTCTGACCGTTGCTTGCGTGTCCGCAGGTGGCAAGCCAAGCAGTGGGCGCCATGCCGTCCATCATCTTGTTCCCGCTGCTTCCCTTCATCTTCGAGGTCGGCCTCGTCATTTACTGGGTGGCGGTTACGGCACTGTTGTACAGCAGCGGCGACTTAGTCGCCAACTGTCGAAACCCGAACATCAAACAGAGCTTTTCATTCAGTCAGTACACCAACGTTTCAAACGTGGTTGACACCGTAAACAACTTTAACCCGACGGATGCGTTGGTGAGCAGCTTGAACTCCACAACCGCTGCGGTCAACGGCTCAACCACCAACTGCTACACAAACTTCACAACGTAAGTTGAACTTGTATGCGGATAGGTTCAGACTATGCTTTGGTGTATTCGTATCGTGCACGATGCATGGTGCACATGCTGGAGAGCCCTGCAGCATGATGCAGTGCTCCTGGCTTCGTGTCTCCTATGCGCACGGTCCTGACCCTTTTTGCCTGCCACGCTGCAGCGACCAGCGTGCCTACCTCTGCGGTAACGACCCCAACTGCTACCTGTCATACGACTGGAACAACCAGCTCAAGTACGCCTTCATCTACCACTTCTTTGGCCTCCTCTGGACGAACCAAGGTATGTATGCCGCCGTTGGCTGTCAACAAGACGCATGCTACGCCCCCTATGGCTTATAGCGATTCCCGCGCGAGTGTTTCCTATAAACATCCCCTATAAACCCCTATAAACATCCTGAAATTGCTCTCCCCCCGCAGTCATTGTCGGTTTCTCATGCGTCACCATTGCGGGAGCTGTGGGCCACTACTACTGGTCTCGCGGGGAGTCCGCGGGCATGCCCGCGTTCCCCGTGCTGTCGGCCCTCAAGAATACCGTCGTCTACCACATGGGCTCCATCTGCTTCGGTGCCGCCATTATCGCCATCATCCAGCTTATCAGGTGTGTCGGGAACTGCAGCCCCTGCCTGTGGGAATGCGGTGCTGGTGATCTGTTAAGGTCCCTTGTACAGGGATCAGAGCCTTCTTTGATATTGTTGAACGGCTGATTAATTTGCTGGGTTACAACCGTCACCGCTCCCAACTCATGTACGCAGGGCTATCCTGGAGTACATCGATCGGAAAACGAAGGAGCTCCAAGCGCAAAACAAGTTTGCCGAATGGGCCATGTGCATTGTCAAGTGTTGCATGTGGTGCATCGAGCAGATCGTCAAGTTCATCAACAGGAACGCCTACATCATGATTGCCATCAAGGGCAAGGGCTACTGCTGCTCCGCCGCCGATGCCATCAAGCTGCTCGTCTCGGTACGTCAGGGAGAGGGACCGGGCCTTGTTACATACCTCTTTGCATCATGTGTCGGTGTCATCTTACCCCGTAAACCCACCTGCCTGTTCAATGCAGAACGCCCTGCGGGTAGCCGTTGTGAACATGATCTCCGACATCCTCATCTTCTTGGGCAAGATCTCGGTGGCTGCGACGGGCGGCATCATTGCGTAAGTGTAGTGGACCGCATTGGGGTTGAATTTGCGTATGAAGCGCCTGGGCTCGTGCCCCCAGGGGCGATAGGTGCGGGCGGCGGCAAAAGTCATGCTTAAGGCGTCCCTGTTTTGGCTCCGCAGGTACGCGATGACCGAGGCCAAGTACTACAACTCCCAGGAGCAGTACCCGGAGACGTACCTGTACAGCCCCGTACTTGTCATTGCCATCTCCGTCATTGTCGCCTTCATCGTGGCAGGTAGGCCGGGAGCTGCCTTGGGATGGCATTCGTTGTCTTGTAAGCTGGAGATCCCGTCCTGCTGAGTGGGCATTCCGTGCTGAGGTTTGCTGCCTTAACATGGTGATGGCTCCACGGGCACGCGTTCTGCCCGGACTGTCATGTAGTTGTTGCTCTGTCTCTCTGGTTCATGCATGTAGATGATCGCCGTGATAACGCCCTTTGCAGAGATCTTCTTTGCTGTGTACGAAATGGCAATCGACACCGTCATCCTGGCCTTCTGCGCGGATTGCGATCAGCACAACGGCGAGCCCAAGTTCGCCCCGAAGTTGCTAGCCGAAGTAATGGGAAGCGTGGCTGTTCCGGATGAAGCGCAAAAGCCCCAAAAGGCGTGATGGAGGGGTTGGTAGGTAATACCATGATTCGCGAACATTCTGTTGTCTTACGGAGCAGCAACGTTTTGCTGGCTAGACTTAAGACAGTAGCGCATGACGCTTGGCAGTAATAACATGCATTAACTTGGGGGATTGCATGGGTCTGCATTGCTAAGGTGATCATACTTAAGGGGATACGTATGGGTTAACCGGATTGCACAGTGCCAAGATGTGCAACCCATGTGCATGCGCACGTCTGGGCGGAGGATTGTAGACAGGGACTGTAGCCGGCAGCTGTCACACCGGACGTGACCCTTACCTAATGTGCAGTGCTGCTTTAGCAGCATACATTGATGCACTGAATAGGAATAGTGAGCTTCTGCGGTCCAGAGGGATAGGTTTGGAATGACAAAAAGCGTGATTAGGGTTGTTGGACTCTCATCACACTGATGCCTTGGAGCTGAGTGCTCACAAGTGAGTGATACGGCGCCGTTCTATGTGCTACTTGTGATCGTACGCGCATCGGAGACCTGCTTTTTGGTCCCTTGGGTGTTTTGTTTATGTATATATATGTTTCGGCGTGAAAGGGCGTTCGCCGCCCTGCATCGCTTTCCGCTGCCCTAGTGGCAGCGTTGAGAAGCTTCGTACTCTCGTAAATAGGTTCGTACTGTTAACGGTACCATAACGCGCGGTTTGGCATATTGCGGTGCGGGATGTTGCGTTACCGCATGCATTGTCGCTGACAACAGTGGCAGCGTCGGCGAGTAAGGACCCCCAATCAAGGGTCTTGGAGGTGTAAACTTTAGGGTGTTTTCGTCGAATAATGGTTCAGTGGCTGGAGCAAATGCCGCCTGCACTATACATGCCAGTTTCGGGTTCACATTACCGTGTCGAACACAGCTGTCAAGGAAATGAATGACCCGGAAAGCCTAAGCATGGGAAAGGACTTCCAGTGCGACTGTCCCTGGCTGGTCGCTGCCCCACGGGTCACCAGTGGCAGTGCCGCCAAGAGTGTCGCCGTAATGTAGGCTGAAACCTCACCCAGCTTGCCTGGTCAGCAGCATCCGTAGGCGCTAATTAAATATATCTGTACGTGCACACCACGTACCCACCTCGGGGTTGCCCGGCTGTACTGCACATAAGTCCAAACTCTGCTCTTCATTTCTTAGTTACCAAGAATCTATGTAATGGTGCGTACCTCCCTTACTCAAAAACAATCCAGTGAGGAGAGTCTGCTCCCCGATTCATTGAACTGCTAAGACGCTTCACCTGCCTTGCGCCTTCAAAGGACTCTACCGTTAATTGTATATTATAGCAAGCTTCAAGAGAAATTGAGCTGGCAAAGTCGAGTCTGTGACTCTTTGTCATTAGATTTCTCTTTATCGGACATACTATCCAGACGCCCAAATGAAGCGCAAACATGAAGCCGTTGGAGCACTGGGGCTTGGAGGCTATGCCAGCGAGGATGAGGAGGAAGACGTTGAAAGCCAGGAGCATGGGGCAGAGGACACCGCAGAGGAGCAGTTGGAGGGCGTCGACAAGCCAGGTTGGGCAAGGCTTTGGTGGCCTAAACAATCGTGCGCTTTGCACATTATGATGTGTTCCCACTTGCAGGCGCCCTGTTGCCAAACTACCCGAGCCGGGAGTCGTTGGGCCGAAACGGCGTCGAAGATATGGACGCTGGTGCTTCAGAGGAGGAGCTTCGGGGTTCACCGGATGCAGCTGGAACGTCTGGCGGGGACGGCGACGCAGGTATGTCGCCTGCGTCAGTCCGGCTCGCTAAGCAGTGTTGTTGACCTGCCGCTGCCGATCCGAAATGCGGTGCAGGGCCAAGCTCGGGGGGCGTGAACCCAGACGACCCGCTTAGCCGGCTACCCCCAGAGCTGAGGGACCCGCTGCCCACAACCTGCTCTGAGCAACTCCAGGTGAGCGCAACACGCGTGTTGCCGGTACCACATGTTACGCTTTGCCCGTGGCGTGCTGCATGCGGCTTAGCTTTGGGGATCATTGGCATATGGAGGGGTATCCGCAATGCCGGCCGAGGCGGTGTCGGATTCGCACATCGGGGGTTGGCGTAAGGGTGGGGATGTTAAGTAGGGAAACATGTTTGGGGTGGGAATGCGGTGGGGTTGGGTTGGAAGGAGGCTGCTTAGTAAATTGACAGCCTGCTGTCTGTTATCACTCGACGCTCCTTGCTAAGCTGACTCCTTAAGCTTGCATTTCAACTCACCTCTATCTCTTTGCCCTCCCATCCTTCCGCCCAGGCCAAGTTCTTGCAATACCACCATGCGCTGCGCGCGAAGGGCATCTCCCTGACCGACCAAATCAGCCACCGCAAGGCCTTCCGCAACCCCGACTTCCTCCAGAAGCTAGTCGAGCACTTCAACGTGCAGCAGCACGGCAGCGCGTTCCCGCCCGACGTGTTTGATCCGGAGAGCTTGCCGCAGGAGGACACGATAGGTGAGCGGTCCGGGTTCTTGCTTAGGGGATTTTGGGTCAAGTGGCTGGAGTTTCGGGACGTGATGCTCTCCCGGATGTCACGTCCTGTGCCTTTGAACCATTCACAAGAGACGTTTCCTAATTCGCTCCTGCTGCGCGGGCCTGCACGTTTTCCATATCGCCTGCTAACCCGAGCATCCTGTCTCAGTTGCATGCTACGCTGCAACCGGCAAGCCTAATGTGACGCCTGCCTATGCGTTCCAACCGTGTCCTCATCCGTGTTTGACGACACGCACAGACCAGCTGCTGAGGGCTCTGGAGCGCGAGCAGGATCGCCGGGCGAGATTACGGGAGCAGCAGACGGCTGCTGGCACTGCCCGGATAGACTTCGCCAAGGGCACGGGGCCGCTGGGCCACATACCGGCGTCGGGCAGCGCGAGCAACCTAGCGCTTGCGCAGGCAGCAGCCCTGGCGCAGGCGGCTGTGGCGCGGGTGGTGGGAAACAAGCGATAGCTGCCGGCGTGGGGTGGTGTGGCGGAGGAGAAGCGTGGAGTGCAATTGGGCGGAGATCAGTGACAGTTGCATGTTGCATGTGTTGCAATTGAGCCCTTGTGTATGCGGGCATTGTGCAACAACGGTGTTGTACGGTTGAGGAAACCTCAATTGCTCATACTCGATGCAACCACTTGTAACCAAAGCCTTAGCATGCGCCTTGCTCCATCGTTGCCAATCCTTGCAGCAACGACACAGCAGCGAGGTCTGCTCCCACGACGCCGAATGGCGTGTCTAATACCTGCAGTATTTATCAATTACGCACACCCTGCGACCATCCTCAACGAACATGCCCAACTACGGCGCTCTAACTGCTAGTAACCTCCGTCAGTCTCACTAAGACAGCGAAAACAACAAGCTCACGGCTACACCCCAAGTTGTGGTCTACATCATGGCACGGCCACATGCTCATCCAAATCCGACAACACAAAAGCCACAAGCGCCGATAGGCATGCAGCACTCCCCACTGCCCCTTCTTACCCAGCCACCCCTATGCTTGAAAACCCCATAAACATCCTAATGCTACTAACGCAACGCCCTACATTCTGCGCTCTCTCATCACCGCTTCTTGACAGCCCGGGGCTTCCGTGCGCCCGCGCCAGCTGCAGCAGCAGCCGCTGCCGTCGCCTGGCTGTTGCTCTGCGCTTGCGCCTGGGCAGCTTGCTGCTCCTTCGCCCCGCCCTGCTGCCGTGCCGGCGCCTGCTGCTGCACGGCGCCCGCCTGCGGCCGCTGCGGCTGCATGGCCGCCTGCGGCTGCACCTGCTGTGCCTGTCTCCGCATCGGCGGTGGTGGCCGCTGCTGTGGCTTTCGCCGCTTGAAAAACCGCTGAGCGGACATGACCGCAGACTTGAAGAGGAACACACCTAGGAGCAGCCCGCCGCTGGCGTTGGTGAGGGTGCCCAGCGCCTGCCGGTGGGTGGGCCGCACTTGGCGCCGGAGGTCTACCAAGCGCTGCATGCGCGCCGCGAGCTGCCGCTGCCGCTCCTCCGCACGCTGCCGGGCAGCCTCGTACTCCGCCGCCTCAGCCGCCTCGGCCTCCAGGTCTATGCCGCCCGTGGCGGCTATGGCTTCGGTAAGGTAGCGCTCCTCTAAGGCCGCCTGGAGGCTAGGCCTCTTCAGCCCCAATTTCCGAGCAGCCACATCCTCCATGTACTCGTCGGTTGCACCAAGGACAGACGTGCGCAACTGCCGGCGATACCAGTCGAAAGAGGCATCCTCAAGCTCGCTGGAGAGCTGCTCGTCGTTTAGTATCTTGCCTTCCGCGTAGCGCTTTCGAACTCGATCGAATTCTCGCGGTATTGTGTTCTCAAACGATTCCTCAAACGCTTTGAGATCCGCAGGCGACGGTGGATGGAGCAAGTCATGCCCATACTCAAGCGCTTTCGTCGAGACCTGGACTACGGCGCTGATTGCATCTGGTATTAAAGCCCCAAGGCGCGGTTCTGGCAATTCGATGTTAAAGAACGGGACGTGCACCATTTGCGGACTAGGCTACCGGTACGTTAAGCACTTGTGTCGAGCGATCAATTATTGCATCGTGTTATGATTAAGTGAATAATCTCAGTCGGATTGGGGCCAATTATTGCTGGCAAGTGTATGGGACCAATGGGACGAAGGCAGAAACGTGGACGGCAATGTCAGGTACTACCCAAACCGGTCCTGCAATCATGAGTAGCTTAGTGAGCTACGAGTGTGTTTTGTATATGACAAAATTGGGACAGCTTACAAGCAGCGAGGTAGCCTAGAGAGGTAGCCTCGGCGACTTGTAAATTAACCTCCGCTTTGTGCGAGCTAAGATTAACAAGTGCGATACATGAAGACACACAACGGGGCGGAGTGTTGCCCAAATTCTTGGCATATGGCTCGTTTGGGGTTTAGGGTACTGCTTAGGGTTTAGGCCCCGCCTTTTTTAGTCGGGAATTGCACTCGATCACACACAAGGAATTGCTACTCTCAACAGTTAAAAGTTGTTCACTTACTTTACAGTTCAGGCATTGCAAGTTAGCTGAAGAGTTATATTAATCGATTTAGGAGCAATCGTGAGGAATGAGCGGGGTGCAGCGGGTCGATGACCCGTCGCTGCCAGCTCCTTGGCAAGCCTTGTATGATCCAGCCAGTCGTTTGAAGGTGTGCTGCTTAATGCTATCCTCACCTTGCCACAACCAAACGGCTAACGCTACACGCCCCTTCACGCCTGGGTCTTTGCAATCCTTCTTAAGTACTATTGGAACCCGACAACAAACGGCAAGTAACATTGGGTTGGGGTTCGTTGGTGGGAGAATTTGTGTTATGCGTTGAACGAAACCCACGAGTATCATGTCTGTCGTTCTGATATCGTTGCCTCTTTTCACCTTGTACAGTTACGACCTATGATCGCCCTGGCGGCGGCGCTTCAGCTGCTCCAGCATCAGCGGCGCCTGCATCAGGCGGCGACTACCACAGCAGCAAAGATCGGCGGGTGCGTCATATAGTAGGAAAACGTGCTGTCCTAACGTTTGACGAGTAGGAACGCGGATTGTCTTCTACTGGTCCATGACTTGACTGTTACATTTGCCTGACTGGCTTCCATAAAGCGCTACTTACACCTTCCTGATCTGAAACCCGCAGGACGATTACTCGTCAGCTGCGAATGGAAATGGCTACACGTCGACTTCTTACCAGAAGACTGGCCTGACTGGACAGCCCGTCTCAACCGATGGCTTTCTCTCCGCAGCTGACTATCGCCGGCAGCACGACATCTCTATTCAGGGCGACGGCGTCCCAGACCCCCTGCAGACGTTTGAGTCGGTCGGCTTCCCACCTGACATCCTGGATGAGGTACGCTGTGCTCCCGTGGACACAGGCACCGGTTGGGTGGGCAAAGGTCCATGGCGGCCTCTTTTGGTCCGATCACGTTGAACCACCACGCCAATTGCGTGGTGGATGAAGCTTACGAACACAGAGCTCGGGCAGTGGCCCCAAACCCCGCCTGTTGGCTGAGCCGGCGCAGCTACCTGAGCCCTCGATGAGGGGCTGTCACGGTGTTCCCCTCTGGTTGGCTGGCTAGGAAAGCGCGGCCAGCTGCTGGGTTGTTGCATGCCGCAGCTGCATGCAGTCTCCGATGCAACGGGGGTCCGATAATGCCGTTGGGCGTGGGTTAGGCCAGGTCTGCATGTTGGCCGGGGCGTCATCCTCGCGGCGCTGTACAGAGCTCCCACAGTGCAGTCCGCCGCAGGACCCTTGGCAGTCTTAGCATGAAGAGGCGCGGCAGGCTTGGTGGCTTGGGCATTGCAGCCCGCCCACTCGCCTGGTCGCTTCGGAGGGCAAAAGCACCGCACCCCGGCCTCGCCGCCACGCCACGTCTCTGGCGCGGGCAGGCTGGCAGGCAGGGGGAACGTGCTCGGCTCGCCGGCCTCGGAGTGCTTCGCTGTCAAGGCGAGTACTCAGTCACGCCCTCGATCAGCGCCTTATGCGTGGCCAGCATTCTTCACATCTGAAACGGGCGGACGTCTAGGACAGGACAGTGCTGTGCGGGGTCGCGTGTGTCGTGTCGAAAGATCACATTAGGCAGTTGTTCCTTCTTCTTCTACATCAACGGTTGTTAGCGTGGTCCCTGCAGCGTGGCCACGCAAGCCTACCCCTCAGCCGCACGTCGCATGACTCAGATCCAACCCTCCTGTCACCCATGCCCCTTACCATTTGCGCCCGCTGCGAATCCTGCTGTACGCAGATTCGTCGCGCTGGCTTCAAGTCTCCAACGCCCATCCAGGCGCAAGCTTGGCCCATCGCACTCTCGGGTCGTGACCTTGTGGCTATTGCGAAAACGGGTTCCGGCAAGACTTGCGGCTTCCTGCTTCCTGGCATGCTGCACATCCAGCAAACACGCAAGGACCCACGGGCGGGCCCCACGCTGCTAGTCCTGGCGCCCACTCGTGAGCTGGCAGTGCAGATTAAGACGGAGGCGGACAAGTTTGGTCGTTCGTCGGGCATTCGGAACACGTGCGTGTACGGCGGTGCGCCCAAGGGTCCGCAGCTGCGCGACATTCAGTACGGCGTGCAGATTATGATTGCCACGCCCGGTCGCCTGAACGACTTCCTGGAGGCTGGGCAAGTGCGCCTGCAGCAGGTGGGTTCGGGTTCGGGTTGGTGTCGTTGGGGGTTGCACACAGTGTAAATGCAGTTGCAGTTGCAACTGCCTCGCTAGTAGGTTGGAGACCTGGTTCTGGTAGTGTAATAGTAGCAGCCTTGTTTCCATGCTGTGTGCTGCACAGACAATTCGTTGGAGTTGAGCTTTGCTAGAACCGTGCTGCGAAACTGGATGCTGTTAAATTTGCAACTCCTCATTGCCCACACAGGTGTCGTACTTGGTTCTGGATGAGGCCGACCGCATGTTGGATATGGGTTTCGAGCCGCAGATCCAGCGCATCGTGCGCACGCTGCCCCGCCAGCGCCAGACGCTGTTCTTCTCAGCCACCTGGCCCCGCGAGGTGAAGCACATTGCCGCGCAGTTTGTGGTCAACCAGACGGTGCACGTCTTCATCGGTGGCGTGGAGGAGAAGCTGGTGGCCAACAAGGCCATCACGCAGCATGTGCTGGTGCTCAACAGCTCACACGAGAAGTTCAGCGAGCTGGCGCGCATCATCAGGTGGGTGTGTGGTGCGGGCGCTGGTCCATGCGAAGCCTGGCGGAGCTGAGCTCCGTTGTCTTCGCCTGGCATGCCTTATTCTGCGAACGCCTGCGCGGACGCCTCAGCACCTCATACTTGTGCCTTCTCCGATTCTTCCATGCTTTTGAACTGTCGTTGCGCCTCACTGCTAACGACTTCACTTCTGTCTGCGCTTGTTTTCTTGTACAGGTCCAAGCCTCCAGGCACGCGCATCATCATCTTCTGCACCACCAAGCGCATGTGCGACCAGCTCTCCTACCAGATGTCCCGCGAGTTCCGCGCCGCTGCCATCCACGGCGACAAGAAGCAGGCCGAGCGCGACTACGTGCTCCAAGCCTTCAAGGAGGGCCGCAACCCCATCCTGGTCGCCACCGACGTGGCAGCGCGCGGTCTGGACATCCCCAACGTGGCCGCTGTCATCAACTTTGACTTCCCCACCGGCACCGAGGACTACATCCACCGCATCGGCCGCACGGGCCGCGCCGGCGCCACGGGCGAGGCCTACACCTTCATGACGGGTGAGGACGCCAAGCACGCTCGCGACCTGATCCAGGTGATGCGTGAGGCGCAGCAGGTGATTCCGCCCGCCCTGGAGCAGCTCGGCATGCGCGGTGGCTTTGGAGGCGGCGGCCGCAACCGCTGGGCCAGCGGGCCAAGCTACGGCGGTGGTGGTGGCTATGGCGGTGGCGGATATGGTGGTGGTGGCTTTGGCGGCGGCGGTGGTTATGGTGGTGGTGGTTTTGGCGGCGGAGGCTACGGTGGCGCCGCTGCTGCTGTTGCTCCGCTTGGTATTGGGGCCTCGGCTCCGGCGTATGGCGCGGGTCGGGACGACCGTGACCGCCGGCGCAGTCGCAGCCGCAGCCCCGATCGCAGCCGGGAGCGCAGCCGGCGGCGGTCGCGGAGCCGGTCGCGGTCTCGGGACCGGGGCGGCGACCGTGGCCGCGGCAGCCCTTCGTATGGCCGCTACAGCCCTCGTTAAGTGGCCTGCGGTTTGGGGCTGAGTACCGTGAAGTCTTTCCCTTGGTATGGTATTACTCTTCAAGTAGCTGGAACTTACCATGACTGAATGAGATTTTTTGGTAGGCACTCTGATGCAGTGCATTGGGTACGGTACTGTTTTTCTTGTGGCATGTTTGAATTAGGACATGTTTGTGTGGCAATGCAGTGATTGGTCATGCATGGGCTTTAGTTTGGTCGTTAGGTGGTGTAAGGAGGCGTTATGCGTGGGGCGTCGTGCATGGACGGGAATTGCAATGAGAGGACGTACGGGACTGAGCAGCGGAGGTTTGAGCGGATGCAGTTGACAGACGCGAGTGCCGCACGGTTTGCGTCACATTCTTTTTCTGTTTTCCGGCTTTGCTTATTGGTACATATGGCTTGCTTAGGGAGGTAAGGTGTGGCTTGACGTCACGCATAGGACGAAAGCCGCCCAGTAGGGATGCTATAGGCCCCCTTCGCCTCTGGCTGGGGCGCAGTTGAAAAGGTGCTCGCTACTTCAAGTTGTGGTCACGACGAGCTCCTGATGAGCTGCTAAATGGCACGCGGATCTTTATCTGACGGGAGTACTGCGGCACTTGGATGTGTAACGGAATCGGTCACGCATTGCAGTAAGCTGTCGTCTCTTATTACCGGTAGTCGGATATCATTGGGGGCGTCAGACAACACAGCAGAGCAGCAATTGAACTTCAACTCGGATACTGAGTCCATGGCAGCTAACGTCTCATATTAGGAATAACAGCGAAGACGAATTACTAACAACAGAACGGGCTGTTTCATGCTGACACAACTTTCCGCTATATTAGCAAGAGTGCTGTTTTCGCTTCTTCCCATATCAAAATTAATTTCCTAGCAGCAATTTTGCGCGGCAAAAAGACCCGTGGGTCAGGATTGGTGGCGACGAGCAAGCGGCCGCTTTATAGCCAAGCCAACATGGATACAGAAATTGCCTTTCCACAATCCGAACACTCCAAACATCAAAAGCCTCCATCCACTCCACAGCAGCAGCAACAACAGTTGCGCCGACAGCCAGGAACTCCCGGCCTCGACCCGCCAGCCAAACTGCCGGACCACGTTGGCACACTTGGCGGACATCCCAACTTGCGCGTAGCAACTACACAAGCCCCAACTGGTCATGAACAGCAGCCGCAACAGCAGCAACAACCACAAAACCATCCACAGATGCCTGAGAACGACAGTCGCAATCCAGCGCTGCCCAATCCGGTGGCTGCCGGTACCGCCGCCCATCAGCAGTCCGCCCAGCCCCTACGCGGCCTCAAGCTGCTGCTGCACCCCTCCCTGGAGAAGCGCCCCTCTCTGTCCCCCGAGCAGCTGCAGCAGCTGCGGCAGCAGCTGGCAGGGCAGCTGGGCGCCTCTGCCGTACTCACGCAGCTGCCTCCAGACGTCCCGCAACAGGTACGGCACATGTAGGATACGCCGGCCGGGACTCAACACGAGAGCGGGCAGCTGATTGCTTGCTTGGGGTTACTTCCCACCTCTGCCCCGCCTGCTCCTGGCCGCAGCTCTCGCTGCTACCGGTAACCTTGTCAGCGGCGCTCTGCCCCGGCGTAACGTAGCCAACGTAACGTAACGTCAGCATTACCGGTAAACCAACCCTCCCCCATCGCAGGTGACCCATGTGGTGTTGGACGGCGGCGTGGTACGGCAGCGGGGGCAGCTGGCGGCGCTGGCGGGGGAGCTGCGGCCCGCACTGCAGGTGGGGCGAGGGAGGTGGGAGGCTGGGGGGAAACACCGGGAGGAAAAGTACAACCATGCTAGGGGCTTGGGCAGCTACGGGGAGGAGAGCAGGTAGGCGCAGGTTGAGTTGCTAGGGGGAGCTAGATGGGCCCTGGCTCTTTATGGTCGTTCCAGAGTTCTCCATTTTCCCCGTGTTACCGTCTGCAATGAGCTCGCTTCCCCCTTCTCCCGCACGGCTGCCGCCCCTCCGTCCCTCCGCCCCTCCGCCCCTCCGCAGGCCATCCAGGCCGCCCACCCCACCCTGGAGTTGACCCCTCGGGAGCTGCAGTGTCGCATGCGGGTGGTGGATGCGGGCTGGCTGCGGGGCGTACTGCGGTACGGCAGGTGAGTCAATTTACAAGTGGAAGTTGAGGGTAGAGAGCTGCGGAGGGAGGCTGGGGCTTTGCGGCATGGCTCATGCTGTCATGCACGGTTGCAGCTGCCCCAACTTCATACACCTGCTCCTCACTCTGCCCCTTGTTCCTTTCCACACACACCCTTCCCAAGGCGCATGCCCGCAGCGCCCCACCTGGTTCCGGGTGTCCTGGAGGCGGCAGCGCAGCTCTGGCGACAGGGACGCAGCGGACATCCGTCGCCAGGTGGAGAGGTACGACAGGAACCGGGTGCCGGTTCCGAAGCAGGGCCGGCGGCAGCAGCGGCGCCAGCGTCAGCGGAGGCTGGAGCCGGCGGGGCGCCGCCGCCGCTGCCGCTGCCGCCGCAGCAGCTGAGGGGCCTCCCGCAGGTGTTGGTGAGCTACGCCAGCGGCGGCCCCACACGCAGTGACGGAACTGCAGCCGGCAGCGGCGGCGGCGGCAGCGGAGGTGGCAGCGTCGTCGGTGGTGCGGCGAGCGGTGGAGCGGTTGGCGCCGGCGCCGCCGCCGTCAGCGGCGGAGGTGGCAGCGGTCGCAGCGGCGGCGGCGGTGACTCAGCTGGCTTGGGGCTTGGGGGTGACGGCGGCAGAGCGGGGAAGCGCAGGAGAAGTCGCGACAGCAGCACTGGCGGTGCGGGTGTTGCAGCTGCTGCTGCACGAGATGAGATGACCGGTGCAGGGATGGGCGGCGGCGACAGCGACGGTGGCAGCACTGGCGGCGGCGGCGCCGCCGCTGCTGAGGGGCCGGGAGCTGGGATGCAGGCGCCGCTGCTGCCCCGGCAGGTGTCGCCGACACCCGGCCCCCGACCGGACCCCCATGCACCCTTGGCCAGGTGGAGCAGGGGAGGGAGGCTGGGTGCATACACCATCCTTCTACCCAGCCACACACAAACCATGCATGCCACACGCCACCCCCACTTCCTCGCTCCCCTCTTACGGTATCCCCCCGCCACCCCCAGGTTGCTGCTACTAACCCGAACAAGTATGACTATACGCAACGCAATTATGTAACGATTGTAACCCAGCCCCGGATGCGGAATTACGGAATAAACCCCCCAGGTTCGCCTCCTGGCTGGGCGAGTGGCACCCCTCCCTGGACCGCGTGTCCCGCCAGTCGGAGCTCGTCATGTACGGAGTGTACGACAGGGCCAGGTGCGTGGCGGTGGGTAACGGGCCGGTGGACGGAGCGCTGCGGGAGCTGGTCAAGTACGAGGAGGCGCTTGCGGGGCCGCGAGGTGAGCGGTAGCGTAATTGAGGTGTGGGAGGGAGAAGGGAAGTTGAGGAGTTGCGAGGGTGGGGTACTCCGCACAGGGCGTGTACCGGATGAGGGATGCTGGTCTTGATAGGTCTTAATCATACGGGATTTAGGATGGGAGATGCCGCAGGCAGGAGTTAGGTCTGAGGATAGTCATGAGGAGGTGGTAACCACTGCTGCCGTCCATACCGTCCATTAAATGCCCGTTTTCAACGACTATCCTAACAGATAACACCGACCGTTGGGAGGAGTCTAGGCATTCAACAACCCCCGGCGCAACCTCCACCACCAAACCAGGCGGCGGCCGCCATCCCTCCGCCGCCGCCGCCGCCACCTCCTCCTCCTCCAGCCACCCTGTCATAAACCATCAGGCCCTCAACTACGCCCATGCAGCTGCGGTGGTGCGCGCCTGCGCCTTCCGCCTCACCCCAGATCTGGACCCGCAGCGGCTGCAGTACATGTTGCCGTACATGGGGCCCTTCACGGCGCGTGTCGTACACCAGCTGGTGCTGGCGGCGGCGGCGGGACGACTTGATGACGTAAGCGGCGGCAGTGGTAGTGGTGGTGGTGGTGCCGCCACGGCTGCTGCTGCTGTTGCCCCGGTTATCCTGACGGGATGTGAGCCGCTGGATGCGTTTCGAGCGGATCAGCCGGCGCGTGACTCTCGAGGCAGGTTACGAGCGGGCACGGAGGGGGCCAGGTGGGGACGTGGGGCTGGCTGGGGGACCCTACCGGTACCTGGGGTCGTTTTCCCATTTAGCTTGGATCGCAGCTCCTGGCACCTGCTTATCGTTCTTAACACACGCACGCGCCCTGCCCGCAGCACTCGGCGCATGTTCTGCCGACTGCCGGGTTGCGGCCCGGTGCTAGCGCGCTACTGGTGGCAGCAGGGATTCCGTACTTTTGAGCAGCTGCAAGAGTACGGCGCGGCGAGGCGGCAGGAGGAGGGGCTGGAGGTGGAGGAGGACGAGGAGGAGGACGAGGAGGAGGACGAGGAGCAGCAAGGGGAGGAGGGAGAGGCGGCGGACGTAAGGGGCGATAGCGCTGCTGGCAGGGGTTACGGCTGGTGGCATGGAGGGCAGCGGAGGCGGCAGCAGCGGCGTGGGTTGGGACGTGTTGGTGGTGACGCTACGCCGCCTAGGGAGGGTGAAGAGGAGGAGGAGGAGCTAGGTGGTGGTGGGGGTAGAAACAGCGGTGACGGAAGGGACGGAAGCGACCAAGTCTATGATACCGAAGCCGCCGCCGCCGACGACGACGACGATGACGGCGATGGTGGCGATGGCCGGCGTCTCCCTGCTACCAGTGGTAATAAGCGCGTTCGTTTCGAACCACCGCCTGACTGGATGCAACAGCAGCAGCGGCGACGGAGGCGGCCAGCGGCGGCGGCGGCGGCGGACCCGGCGGCGGCAGCGGCGTACGACAGGCGCGGCGGTCTCAGCAGCGCCCGCGGCGGCGGCAGCGGCGGTATGTCGGTTTGGTGGCGGGGGGAGGTGTGGAGCTCGCTGGTGTGGCGGCGGCAGCTGGGAGAGCAAGTGACGGAGGAGGAGGTGCAGGAGATGCGGCAGGTGCGGGGGGGGGATGGCGGTGCGGGTGGCGGCGGGGATGGCGGTGGGGAGTGATGCATGGTGCGGTGGCTGGTGGTGAGGTGGCGCCGAGGATTGTGTATCTCTGTATGATCCATGCGTGCGGGTTCGTGGGGGTTAGCACTTTGCAGTGGCACCCTGAAGTGGCCTAGGTCGGCGGGATTCCACACCTCTCTCTCCGTTATGGTACTGCTGTGACTCCGTTTACGGTACTGTAACTTCGGACCTCCTGCCCTCGTCTCCGTTTCCCTCACCCGCCTCTCACACCCCGTTCCTCCCGCAACCTCCCCCCATACCTCCCCCCCCCGGCTTCAGGCGCTTCTCAACCTGCTGGCCTCCGAGACGGGCCGCCCCGGCTGGCTGCTGCTGCAGGTGGGGGGAACTTGTGCTGGCCAGTTGCTATCGGCATGTGTGCGGGGCCGCGCGAAATATGGTGGGGTACGACATGCGCGGTAACACGGGTAGGGCTAATCCACACCAACCACCATACAGCCCATACCGCATGATGAGTTGCAGCCGGGCTGCCGACACTGTGCTGCCGAAAGTGACGGAAGTGGGGGAGGCTAGGGAGGCTGCTGCAAACACTCTGTCTTGCTAGCACCTTACACGTAGCGGGGGCACAGACGTGCATTGAGCATTGCTGCCGGCTGCTGCGTGCACGAGTCGTGCAGCTGAGTCGGGTTACTGCTGGCTGCTTCATGCATCGGTGTGGGTTCTTCACCCGTGTTCCGTGTTAGGCAACCTTTGTAAGATACGGTATGTGACGGCGTTCGCTTATCCATCCATGCAGGTGGGCGGCGGGCGGCGCGGCAAGGCGCAAGAGGACGCGGACTTCCTGGCCACCCACCCGCAATACCGTCAGGAGGAGGAGCAGGAGGATGGAGGTGGGGGTGGCAGCGGTGGCGGGGGTGGTACGGCACTGATTGTACGGCTGTACCGGCGGCTGGTGGCGACGGGCCGGGTGCTTCCCGTGGAGCGAGCGTTTTGCCGCCTGCAGGTGAGCTGCAAGGCAGGGGGGTCAGGGACAAACCCAATCAACAGGTTAGGGCAAAGCAATGGGGATAGAGGCAGTGGGTTCAGAACCCTCTCCTCCCTCTCCACCCTCTTGTCACCTAGTTTACTACTGTCACACAACACATTGGACATTCTTTTTTCCCCTCTACCCTCCCCCTCCTCGCAGGTCAACCACGAGCCCGGCTACCTGGCCGCCATGAAGCGCCGAGTGGGCGAGGGGCGCTGGGGCGGCGAGGAGCAGATGGACCGCTACGACCACCTGTGGGGTGTGTGGATCACTGCCGCGGGCCGCCGCCGCCGGCTGGATCTGATGCTGGTGCCGTACGGCCCGCAGTGGCCGTACGCCGTGGTGGGGTGGACGGGCAGCAAGCAGTACCTGCGCTTCATGCGGCAGCACGCGCTGAATTGCGGGTGGGTGAGGGGGGGGGGGTAAAAGAAGAACGCCCAATGTGTGTGAGGGGGGTCAAAGACGTCGGCGCGCCTCTCTCGCGGCTCACGCACCGCCTGCTGCAATGGCCCCACTCGGGGCATGCTCCTCATCTTCCTTCCCATACCACCCCAACCTACCCCTTATGGGAGTGTCGTATATACTCCACCCCCAGCCCCAAATTCCATCCAACCCCCAACTCCCCCCACTTCACCGTCCACCCCGCCCCTCTACCCCGGCTTTCTACCCCGCCCCCCCCCACCGCCCACCGCCCCCGGTTCGGTATGGTCTTTGACCCCCCGACGCCCCCAAGCATGTTCACCAACTCCCACGCCACCCTACGCAACACGCCCCGCGGAGGGGTGGCTGCCGTACCGCACGAGGCTCTGCCCCTCGACTCCCAAGGTCGCGAGTTCGAGCCCCCCAACTGGGCCCTACGAGGCGCCCGGGAGCAGCAGCAGCTGCCTGCGCTGGAGGCCCTGCTGACGGCGCCAGCCACCACCGTACCAACCGCTGCAGCTGCGGCCGCTGCTGCGGCCGCGGCGGCGGCGGCTGCGGAGCAGGGGCAGCAGGAGCAGCCGGGGGAGCAGGGGGAGCAGGGGCTAGGTCCGAGTAGGGTGTTGGAGTTGTTGGGTAACATCGTGGTGGGAAGGGAGAGGAGGGGAAGTGGCAGCCGGGAGGCGGGGGACCAGGAGGCGGGAGGCGGCGGGGTAACCACGGGGCCCATGCGGGATGTGGCTTCCGAGCGCGACATCTTTGAGTTGTTCCGCATGCCATACCGCCAGCCGCACGAACGGAATGCGTGAGGAGGGCGCCAGGGGAGGGAGGAGCGGAACAAGAAGCGCAGGGGAATGGAAGGGACCGGAGGCGGGTGGGACCCGTGAAGAGGGAAGGGAGAATGAGGAAGACTGGGTAGTTACCGGTAATTGAACGAAGGGGCGCGAGGAAGGCTGCCGCTAATGAGGGTGCTGGGGTGTGGTAACACAGATGCTGGGGTTCGTAAGGGGCCTGGGGCTGATGGGGGTTTGCAGGAGGGTTTGCATGCAGCACCTGCGGGCGCTCTACGCTGCTTGTGTCGCCTCTGTTGGCGGAATTGCCCCCTTCCAGAGCAGGCGGGATGAAGATGGGTGGAGGTACATGCTGCGGCGAGGGGTTAAGAGGAGAAGCAACTAACTAACTGTGTGAAAAGGCTTCATCATGCGGTGAGGGGTCGGCAAGAAGACGATAGGGGCTGTCTTGTACGAGGCAAGATACGGCACATCTTTTGAGAGGGTAAGGGACGTACTTGGGCGAAAGCTGGACAGGCTGTGCGTGTGGGTGTGGCCCAAGAGGCACACGTACGAGCCTCGATGCCCGTACATCGTCGCCCCACGAGCCGTAGAGAACCAGTTTTAGGCACAACATTACGTGACTAAGATGTACTTCGGGTTCTCGCCGTGCAGGAAAGCGTGCAGTGGTGCAGATAGAAATGCTCGTACATCCAGGTACATCTAGGACTAATTAGCTAGTTGAGGACAGCAACGAAAGCCAAACAAGGACAATAATTGCGTGAAAGAGATGATTGATGGGTAGTCTCTTTGCGTTGCGCATGCCGCTTAGCTAGTCCTAGGTGGCGCAGCTAGATAGTACGACATGACGTCCCATCTCTCGGCAGCTTTGCAACGCCAGGCTCTAAGGAGAAACGCATTTTGCGGTTGGAAAGGATGTGCTAGGCGTTTTAACAAGTGCGCTCACTTTCATACCTACCTCGACGCTGCTTCGACGTTGACCGAACACAACCACGCGACCTACACTGGACGTAGTCTATACTCTGCACTCTATTTCCAATGTAACTGCTTCCAACAAATTATGTGGGCATGAAGACCCCCTCGACCTAGCAGGAGTGTAACAAAATCATGTCGTTGCTGCATAGCGCCATCGGACATGCCAGCCAAAATATACAAAACGCAACAGAAAAACAAGCGGCCAAAGAAGAAAGCAATGCAAAAGCGCAGAGGGAGCAAGCCGGTCGCACAGTCGCGGGCACGCGGTTGGCTGGAGGAACAACAGCTGCCGACAACCCATTCTATGAGCCGGAAGCTACAGAGGCGCTTTTTGAAGCCGGCGTGCCATCCCAATGGCAGCTCCTTCAGGAAAGATGTCGGGCCTACACGGATGAAACGTCTTCTATGGAGGAAGATGTGAACGAGCTAATGAAGTCGATGTTTAAGGAGCATATGTTGGGTAAGTGAGTAGGAAACGAGCGAACTTCCTTACCAGGCTTAGGGTTTACTATACATCCCTCTACCGGTCCCACGTGGTGTTGTACGGCACCCAACCCAGCTGTTGTAACTGTGAACCCGCTGAATCCCCCAGCACCAACAGATGCAGAACTGCAACCCACGTGCCATTTACCTCCTTACCCTCCTGCTCACCAAGCCAGCATCCCACCACCACGCCACCACCTCCGCCCGCACCCACCTCCTTCCTCGCCCCCTTCCCTCCCCTCATCTTCACCTTCTCCTCCCTCCAGGCCGCTACCCAGGGTTCGCAAAATACCTAACCGGACCCGTCACAGCGGAGTCCCTCCAACCCACCCCACCGCCCCTCCGCCCCGCCTCCCCCACCACCTCCAATCCCGCCTCGACTCCCCCTCTCCACCGCTCCCCCACCCACATGGTCCACCCCCACCACCCCCACACCCACCCCCACCTCTCCTCCGCCTCCCAAAGTGCCCCCCTCGCCGACCGTCTCCGTACGTCGTACCGTACGGCAGTTAACGCACTTTCCGTTTGGTGGTGGCACTACCGCTACTCGCCGCGACGCGCCCGGCTGTATTTGCTGTTGTCGTACCCGGACTCCTCCCGCGGCGCCATGCTGCTCGGGGGCCTTATGTTGGCAATCACGCTGCTCAACACGGCCACCTTTTGCATGGAGACGGTGCCGGCATGGCACCACACGCCACTGTACGACAAACTGATGTGAGTATGGGGTGTGTGTTTTCCCCTGCGCCCAGCCTTATCACCCTAGCCCGCCCTCTCTTTTCCTTCCCCTTCCCCTGCACCAACCCCATTTCCCTTCCCTCATTCCCATGTACCCATCCGTGTACTTCTGCACGCATGCACACACCCGGCCGCAGCCTTATCGACTACGCCTGCCTGGCAGTGTTCAGCGCCGAGCTGCTGCTCCGGCTGGCCTGCTGCCCGGGGCTGCGGCGGTTCGCGAGCAGCCTGCTGAACTGGGTGGACGCGGCGGCGGTGCTGCCGTTCTGGGTGGAGCTGGCGGTGTGGGGGCCGGGAACAAATGGTGGGGTGGGGGTTTGGCGGGTTACTCGGGGTTCGGGGTTACTCGCAGCAGAGGACGGGGCCGGGAGGGAAGGAGCCATGGCGGGGGGTGGGAGGCGGAGCGAGGGAGGAGGGCCTGAGCGAGGGCAGGATGGCTTAGGCGGGAAGGAACGAGGGAGGCTTCGTTTGCTGGTTGGCAACATGCACTCACACTTACACACGACGCCTACGTACGTTATCGTCTTGCCACTCAGTCTGCCCACACAGCCATCCTGACATCTAACCCCAACCCCGCCACGCCCCCTCAACCAAACTCCACCCCCCCCAGTCGCCTCCCAAACCCGCATCCTACGCATGCTGCGAATGCTCAAGCTCCTACGCATGCTGCGAGCCGTATCCAGGTGGGGTGTGGTGGGGAGTATGTGTACGACAAGCGTACGACAGGTCCCCGTGCGCGTGTGCTCCACTGCTGGGTTTGTTTGCCCCCCTGTGATAAGGTCCGGAGTCCGGAGGGGGGAGCCTTATATATGTACGGCAGGCGCCAGACGAGCAAACGACTTTCCTTTGCAATCCTTTTAATGCTTATCCTCACCCTCATCCCCCACTCGCCCCCCACGCATGGTTTCTTCTTTCCCCCTCATTCCCCTCATGCCCCCTCATGCCCTCGCCCAGGTTCCGCAACCTCCAAGTGGTTGTGGACTCGCTGATCGCCAGCAGCGACGTGATCGGCATGCTGGCGCTGCTGCTGCTGGTGCTGCTGGTGGTGTCTTCCGCCATCATCTACTACGTGGAGGGAGCGCTGGTGCCGGATACCTGGTTCAATTCCATACCCGTCACCATGTACTTTATGCATGTAAGCCGGGGGGATGAGGGGGAAAATTTAAATATGTGAAATAACGAGTCCCAATCCCATATCCCGACTCATGCGGTGAGCGCATTCGGAGACACTATTCTAAAGACACGCATCTCAAATTACTTACCGAAGCGTTGCTTACCGTAAACCGAGACGACTTGAGGAAAAAACCGCCTTGCGTGGTAACACTAGGGAGACATGCGCCGCGCCGCCGGTCACGAAATGCAAAGCAACACGCATATGGGGCATACGAGCACACATGTTATCGAGACGCGTTACGGGAAACTTACCTGGAGATGGAGGCCATGAGGGGAGAGGAGGTGGGGAATTAGGTTGGGTTGGGATGGAATGGGATGGGCTTGAAAGAGGGGTATGTGGACCCCTTATGTGTGACGGTGTTGGCTGGTTGCTGCAACCGCCGTGTCCTGTTCCACTGCAGTGAACCTCACCAACAAACCCACATACTCCTCGACTCACAAACGCCATCCCCATATGCCCCCTTCCCCACTGCTCCCTCCTCCTTCACGGCGCCCCCCCCTCCTCTCCCATGCGAACCCAACTATCCAGCCTAATGCGGATTCTGTTTCCATATTACCCCCTCCTCTCCCCTCCGTTGCTTCACTTCTCATTTAATGAATTTCTGTTTTCCCCCCTCCCACCCCCTCCCCAGGTCACCCTGACCACCACCGGCTACGGCGACTTCTACCCGCAGTCCTCCTGGGGCCGCTTCGTGGCGGGGTTGTGCATGCTGCTGTGCATGGTGACCATGTCCCTGCCCATCTCGGTGGTGGGCGGCAACTTCAGCTCCATGTGGGGGCGCTACGTGGGCATGCGGCGCACCCTGGACCGCGCAGCAGCAGCCTGGGGCACCCGCGGGAGGCTGCGGGAGATGGCGGGGCGGCACGGGGCGGCCATGGATAACCTGATTGGCAGCATCAACCGGGTGAAGGTGGGGTGGGGTGGGGTGGGGTGGTTGTGGCCGTTGTAGCCGTTGTAGAGGTATGGGGGGAAGTACCGTAGGGGGCAGGGTGGACTGTGGAGGTTGTTGCAGGGAGGGAAGGCAGTAGGCAGAGGATGGGTCTTCAATGGCTGCATGACTTGATGACTTGGTCCAGAGGGTCACTAACGCTCCCCACCACATCCCATCTGCCACTCCGCAGGCTGCCGTGGAGGACGGTGTGCCTCCCACTGCTGCTGGTGCTGGGGCTGGAGGGGTGCCAGGCGGCAGCAGCGGCGGTGGCGGTGTCAGTGCTGATGGGGGGGCCGGCGGGGGTCTGGGAGCGCTGTGGGAGCAGCTGGGGGAGCTGCGGAGGAGGCTGTCGGACGGGTCGGCGGAGGTGGGGGGGGCCAGGGGGAAGGGGCCGGCGGAGGTCGGGGTGGGAGGATGAGGGGCAAGGGGAAGATGAGCTGGCCTGCGAGTCCAACCACGTGTAGGGGTATCGGAACGGGGTGTGCCGATCGCCTCTTTTAAGAGGTCTGCCTCGACCAAGCCCTCAAAGCCCATACCCCACCCCTCTCTCCTCCCGCTTACCCCTTCTCCCCCCCTCCTCCCTCCTCCCCCTCCCTCCCCCTCCCTCCCCCTCCCTCCCCCTCCCTCCCCCTCCCTCCCCCTCCCTCCCCCTCCCTCCCCCTCCCTCCCCCTCCCTCCCCCTCCCTCCCCCTCCCTCCCCCTCCCTCCCCCTCCCTCCCCCTCCCTCCCCAGTCCCCGGGTGGTCTGTCCGAGCTGCGAGCGGAGGTGGCGGTGCTGCGGCAGCGAGTGAGGGGCGCTCGCAGCCGCACCACACAGCTGCAGGTGGGGGTGAGGGGGTAAAGAGGAAGGGACTACCGGTAACTGACCGTATGATAAGGCGTCATCATGGGTTGCAACATGTGAGCCAGCCCGAGGGGAGGATGGGGGCTGCGCTTGACAGCTGACACAGCTCGCACCATACCCGTCCCGCCCGCTATGTTGCTCGCATTTCCTCCTCCACTTTCTCATCGGCCCTTTCTCACAAAACGCCCAACCCCACCTCTCCTCCCTCCTTGTTCCCTATCCCTTCCTCCCTCCCCACCCCTTCTCCTTTGTCCCCTCCAGACGCTGCTGCTGCTTGCCTCCCGGCTGGTTTGCCCCGACGTGAGCGACCCGCTAGACCGGCTGCACGGGTTGCATGGGGACATGGCGGCATGGGCGGTGGACGGGGCGTGGGTGGCGGGGCAGGCGGGTAGGCTGCTGGAGGACCTGGCGGCGGTGCGGCAGGTGGTGGAGGAGGAGGAGGAGGCGATGATGGAGGGGGAGGAGGAGGGGGAGCTGGATGGGGATTGGGAGGAGGTGATGGGGGAGGGGGAGAGGGAGAGGGAGGAGAGGAGGGGGGATGTGGAGGGTCGGGGCGGGGCTGAGGGTGAGGGTATTAGGGGGGATGGGAATGCGTGAGTCTGGGTGACGGTGGGGGGTAAGTAGTAGGGGTTGAGGGCGGGTGGGGGTGTTGGGGTAGGGACTTGGGTGGGCGTGCTGTTGGGGTTTGGGTTCGGCTGGCGGCCTGGGGGTTGTGGGGAGGTTGGGAAGTGGCGTTTTTTATGACCCGGGGAGGTAGTTGCTCTTGCACTGGAAGGTCAATCTCTTAGTTTACTACCGTACTTTGTATTACCGTGTTGTATTATGGTGTCAGATACCGCACATTCATCCATTAGTAATGCTACTGTTCATTGGGGCTACTGTGCATTGACGGCCCGGTGGCTATAGAGCATTGGCATTATAATCCGCGCGTGCTCTACGTGCACAGTACTGCTCCATTGGCATGCCATTTGTGAATGGCCCACTGCACTTGCCTAGGTAACATTCTAACATATGCATGGGGCCGCACAGGTCAGCGGCGAGGCTGAGAGGCTGAGAGGCGGGTTAGCCGTGTCGTGACCGACTACCGATATGCACACTGTTAGGCGTGTATCCGGGCTCCACATGCAGATAGATAGGGGGGTCTTAGACCTCTAAGTGACAAGGCTCCGTGCATGGGGAGGGGGGCATACCTGGGTGCCCTCCCGCTCTACACGCGTACTGTACGTGTGTACTGGTGTATGTGGGGAACAGGGTGTGCGCGCTGCTTGCTGTGTTGCAAGTTGCGCGCTGGTTGGCTGTCCGTACGGTTCGTTTTTGAAATCGTTTTTGGAATCCTGAACTCATCAAATGGCTGCGTCTGCGTAAGTCTGCTTTCCTGCCTTGACTCGAGACATGATGCTGAGCACGCCTTGTGCAACTTATCCACGGCTTTTGTCGGGGGATGTCTCTTACTTACCGTGTAAGGCGGTGTAAGGCAAGGAAATGACCCCCTACTCACTGCTTGGGCGTATTACCTGTGCAAGATCCGAGGCGGATGATAGGCATCTTGTTGATGGGGCTTCGTGGGGCTTCGTGCAAAGCGGCTGTGGGGTCAATATTCGCACTAGTCGTGACTGCCAACCGTTGCCGCCATGACCCTCGGAAGCGCAGGCTACTGGTATGTGGCACAGGAGCAGGGCTGCACTATGCATGCCTCCCACCCACCATCGAATCTACGTTTTGGGTTGTGACAAGCCGTGTAAGAGTAGCAGCCATCGGCGGCGTCATCAATTTCATACCTTTCTCGGCCTTTTGGCTCAGATCATGTGTAGTATCTGTTCTTGTAAGTCTAATCGCTTACATGGTCCTCATTGAGAACCTGCGATTAACTTCAATATTTTGAGGGGGTGTGGTCAATGGGTGCGCTTGCGCATCCGACCCACCAGCATGGTTGCAGCCTTACACTACCGCCGTAGCCGTGCACCCTACCCATTCAATTTTTTCTTGCTAGCGGTAGACCCCTACAAATGTTGGTACAACAAGCCTGTACCACATACCGGTGGTAAACCCGTCAGCTTCGCAGACACCTACGCTCGCCCCCACCTATCCATTCCCTATAGCCGCCGAATCTTTGTGCGGGTTTAGGGTCACGTTACAAGGCTTTCACAGCCACCGGTCCACACTTTGTAACCCAAGTCCGCCAACCTCGGAGCCCCCTCACACATCGGACTGCGTCTACGACTCGGATCCCTAGGCATGTCGAGTCGGCACACGGGTTTGTCATTCACCGTGATATACCAGTCACGCTTGTCCATGTTTCAAAGCGTCCAACCCCTCAAAAGCGCACGCACCCCACACTCTGTGAACTTCTTTCTGTACTCCACCACCACCTGACTGCTGCTAGCGCTGCTACCGCGCGGCTCATCCACTACTCCAGCAGCAGCGCCCGCCCCTCACCTGTCAGCTGTCACCCTCCAGAACCCCTCCTTCCCCTCATCGCTCTCCCTCATACGGGTCGTACCCCGCCCCCGCAAAGCACAGCCCCACCGCTGGTGCCGGCATGGCTGTCGCCTCCCTCCCCTCCGCCAGGCACCCCAGCAACGCCTCCTCCCGCCCGCCGCCCCGCCCCGCCCCAGCGGTCGCCTCCCGCAGCGCCGTACTCACCAACACACGAACCATGCGCCGCAGGAAGCGATCGCCCACTAGTTCGACACAAAGGACACGGACCGGTGCGTTGTCTTGCCTTACGGCTTCCACCACGTTGCTTTCGGAAGGGCTTCCTGGCGACGCAGCAGCAGCAGCAGCTAATGGCACACCCGTCTTCAACCCCCCAACAGCGGTCCCTGCCAGTCTACTGGGTAGCTCAGCCACGAAGCAGCGAGCCAGGTGTAGCGTGCACATGCCGTCCTTGCCTGCATGACGCGTACCGGTACCAGGAGGCAGCACATCTCGAGAGAAGGAAGCACAGCTTAAAAGAAACAAGCACATCTCAAGAGAAGGGAGCGAATCTCAAGAGAAAACCTGAGAGAACAGCTTGTGAGACCAAGCCAAGACCAGCATTTGGCAGGTAGGTGGATATGAACCAAAAATAGTAGGACAGGAAACGAAGGGGTTAAGGAACCGAACAGTGTGACCCACGGGTCGCAGGCCTCACCTGGCGGCGTGTCCCGGGCAGCTGCCAGGAAGTCCAACCGCCGGTGCTGCAGCTGCCGTAGCTGTGCAGCGAGTAGCACGGGGTCGGGGTCAGCGGTGAAGACCTCGGGGGGCAGGGGCGGGCGGCGCGGGTGGGGCGGCGGTTCGGAGGCCGGGGCGGCAGGATGGGAGGAGGTGGAGGTGGGGAAAGAAGAAGAAGAGGAGCGAGGCGGGTGGCTACAGGTATTGCTGCCGTCTTGTTGGCGGGTGTTGCCGCTGTTGCTGCAGTCAGAAGACTCAGTGGGCGGCGGTGAGGGGCTGGTGGTGGTGGTGGCGGTGGTGGTGAGGGGGTGCGTGTTGGGGCGGCGCAGGGGGAAGAGGTAGATGTACCTGTGTGGAGCCGGGGGTTGGGGGAGGTTGGAGGAGGAGGAGCCTACGTGAAAGGAGACGTAAGAGCACCATATATTGCATGCGGGGCGCAATAGGCGCAAGAATGGAAGGGAGCAACGTCGCACGTTCATTCCCACAAGGTGCAGGTAACCGTTCCGTTCTAACCCGCCACGCCCTACCCCCGACACCCGGTTGCACACCTGTTTTCAACCCCGGTTCGGGCTCCCTACTTGCTCAGGGATCCACCCAGGGGGGGACGTGCCCGTGATCCAATGTAATGCACCAGCCTTCCAACTTTGTCCCCCGCTCAACACATGCACAGGCATCTTCACCACCTTCACGCATCCCCCATCAGCCACTACCTGCCTCGCCATCCCGATCCGTGTCTCTAACCTTCCCTTCCCACTTCCCCGTTCATGCACCCTAGGCGGTCCCCATCCCTGCTGACCCCTAGGCTTAGTAGTGATGTGGGGATCCGGGACCGGACCGCACGCTGCTGCCCTCCCTGTCTTCCTGTCACACTCCCTCTCACCTATCTTGTACCCTTACGCCCATTCCTGCCCCCATGCGCCCCATGCCTTGTCGTATTTCGCATCCCGCACCCCTACTAATTTTGACCCTCCCCACTTGTTCTTCCTTCCCATTGCCGCGCCGCCGTGTCCATAGGAACCCCTACCACGCCATCTTCGCATGCTCTTTGTTTCCTGTCTCGCCTCCTGACTGCTACTTAACACCTCATTAACGCACCCTGCCTCTCTTTCTTCCCTATTTCTTCCGCATATTGACATCCTCTTCCTACGGGACCCTGGACACGACCCTGGTGCGGCTCTGTTGGTCTGCGCCTCCAATCCCTCGGACCCTGGCAATTGGCTTTCCCTTTCCAGGTAAGTTTCCCGTAACGCGTCTCGATAACATGTGTGCTCGTATACCCCATATGCGTGTTGCTTTGCTTTTCGTGACCGGCGGCGCGGCGCATGTCTCCCTAGTGTTACCACGCAAGGCGGCTTCTTCCTCAAGTCGTCTCGGTTTACGGTAAGCAACGATTCGGTAAGTAATTTGAGATGCGTGTTATTAGTGCTTCCGAATGCGCTCACTGCATGAGTCGGGATATGGGATTGGGATTTGTTGTTTCACTTTTATATAATATTTTTACCCCCGACACCCGAACTCGCGACACCCTCTATCCCGCGACACCTTAACCCCCTACCCTCCACCCAGCCCCCCCCCACTACCCTCCCTCCCACCTCCTCCACAGCGCGCTAAAGGTGGCGTGGAAGTGCCGCGGTCGCAGCTGCACTGCCAGCGCCCGCAGGCTGCCCGGAGCCGCGCAGGGGGCGGCGGCGGTGATGGCGGCGGCGATGTCCGCCGGGGGCAACTGCTGCCAGGAGTAGAAGGAGATGGGCTGTGGGAGGGCGGTGGTGAGGGGGGGAGGGAGGGAATGGCAATGGAGAAGGAAGGCGTGAAGGGAATGAAGAGGAGCAGCGAGGGCAGAGAGGAGCGGTGAGGAGAGGCGCAAGCAGTAAACCTCCATAGCAGGAGTGCGCGCAATCTCCATACAGAAGCGTGCATGCGTTGTTACAGACAGGAAACCAGGTACACGCTCCGCTTCTCCCCCCCGACGCACCATCCCAACGGCGCCCACTCCCGCGTCCGTGCGCCCCGCTGAGGACACCACCACTCGGGGGACCCCCGCCTGCTCCCCCACCAGCGCTTGGAGGGCCGTCTGGGGGGGGTGGGGGGTGGAGGGGGCAGAGGCGGGGCAAGTTGGGAGGGAGGAGGCGCGGCAGGCAATGGCAGGCTCTCGTTGCAAGCAGTGGAGGCAAAGGGGTTATAGCGGCGGCGACCCGTGGGTCACACACTTGCAGCGACCCCTCCAAGCAGCGACCCGTGGGTCGGTCACACACCTGCAGCGACCCCTCCACCGTGACCCGCCCCGGCTGGTAGGCCCAGCCCGCGAAGGCGCCGCCCCAGTAGCTGATGTCCACCTGCTCGGTAGCGGGGTGGGAGGGGAACCGATTAGTCCTGAGCCATCCAGTCCAGAGTCCAGCAGGTAACGAGATACCGGTAATTGAATAAGGAAATGCCCTCAGCCAAAGCGCATCCGCAGGAACACCCGCAGCAGTAACAACTCCCATCATGGATGCAACCCATGCCGGGGCCCATGACGCATCCCCCTTCCCCCAATCATCCATGCAAGGCAGCAACCTAGGCACTACAACAAAAGCGCCCTTGCGCCCACTCGCCTTGTATGTCAGCCGTTGGTGACCCCCACCACCGCCAGAGGCCCGCAACCCTCTCTGCTGCGGCCGCTCTCCTCCACTTTCACACTGCGTGCCTCCGCTGCTGCCGCCCTCACCACCACCACCAACATCATTACAGGCCCAGTCTCGCCCGTCAGTCCTGCCACCCTCCTGCTGCTGCTGCTGCTGCTGCTCAGCCGTCACACGGTGGCAGCCGGACTCAGTCAGCTGGGGGGCTGCTGCTGCTGCTGCCGGCCCCTCAACAATACCGCATGCGAGTGCCTCCTGGCTCGCCGCTGCCGCTGCTGCGGGCTCCTCCGAGGACGCTTCTCCTGGGGCCTCCGGAGGTGACGTGTCTGCTGACGTCTCGGGTGACGCCTGACACAGCTTGAAGCAGTCGGGCTCCTGCATGCCGCATAGGATAACACCAATCAATTATCGCGGTGTCCCGTCCACCATCGAACCATCCGTGGCCTCCCAACGTCCCCTCCTTCCGCCCCTCGGAGCCACCTGCCCCTCCCCCCACACACAAACACACACAACCCTACCTGCAGCCCCAGCTCATCCAGGCTGGCGTTGCCCCGCACCACCGCTGCTAGGAAGTCAGACACCGCCTGAGGGGGTGGGAGCGGGGCGGACAGGAGCGGGGGCAGTGGCAAGCACAGGGCAGGGAAGGGCAGAGGGGTTTAGGCCTGGGCGCTGGGAGGAGGGTGGGGAGGGTGGCTCACAGGCATGCATGCATACATGTTGCTCCGTGTGCCTGCCCGAGGAGGTGCGTGGCTCTGCCCGGGGCTGAGGGAGTGTGCACCCCCTGCTGTTCCCCTCGCCTCCCCCAGGTCCCAGCCGCCCGCGCACCCGCCTGCCAGTCGCGGTGTGCGAACAGGAACTCGCGCTGCTCCCAGGCACCCCAGCCGGGAGCTTGGGGCTGGCTGGGAGGCACAGCTGCTTGAGGCTGGCCGGGAGGAGCAACTGCTTGGGGCTGGCTGGGGGGTACAGCTGCAGATGCGGGAGGCATGCCGGTAGTCGTTGTGTTGGGGCTGAGGGCCGAAGCCTGCTGGGCTTCGTGAGTCAACTCGGGTGGAGCGCAGCTGGGGGCGCAGCAGACGGTTGGATCTTGTGCTTTCGTTGAGAGTTTAAGTGAATTCATGTCGTTAGTGTTGGCCTGAAGAGGCCGCGCAGGCCACTGAGGGCTTGTACCTAAGTTGCCGGGGTGATGGGCCTCCTATGGTTCGAAAGAAGTGTTACTCTTAGCGAGGGAATGCATTTGCGACCAATTCATTGTGGCAGTTATGTGCGTTTAAAGGCGTCAGTAAGGGTGCAGGCAATTAAGGCGACCGTCCGTGGGCGCCGGTCGCCAAGGTCACAAGAACCGCTCCCATTAACGTCAACAACACGTTTGTGCTAACATGAATTATGCGTTTGAAAGCATCAGCACCAATCAGTGAGTGCGTTTGATTTTACCAGCCACCACGCCAACGGTAATGCCGTATCCTACAGCTATTCTGCAACTGCCATGCTTAGCGCTCCGATACTAGCCCAGCTTAGCAGTATGTCCTACCCGATGCAGATGGCCGTGGCTATTTCGGCAGTCGTTTGATACAAATAGGCGTTATCATCGGCTACAAACTCCCGTCCAAAGCAGTTGGCCGCAATCACGTCGCCAGAAACTCGCACAAGGGGCTTCTTCAGTTATGTAACCAAGCGGCGTAGCTAAATCCATGAGTAGCGACGGCTTTACACGTTGAACTTTTTCGCATTGTGGTCCCATGCAGCACGCCTAGCATAGTCAGCTTTTGGAGATAGCGCACGCGACGTTGTGCTAGTTAATGCAACGCCTAGCGAGGGCAATCGGCGGCTGCGTTGCGTGCTGCCACTTGGTGAGGAGGAGCCATGAGCAGGGCATGCTTGCTTGGTGGCAAGGAAGGGCGAGCACAGAGAAGGGGCGTTGTCACAATTAACGCAAGGTTATCATGGCATTGCATCCTTATGTTGCTGCGTTAAGCGTTGCGGAACCAGGGGACAATGTCGGCCCTGGGCATCGACTCCTGGCCAATGTGGCGTTGCTATCATACCTTTGCCGCACCTGCCAGCACCCCCAGGGCACCTCACGCACGAATTGCCTCAAGCTCAAATCACTCCTCCTTTAGGTTCTAGGTACCCTACTTACCAACCGGTCCGAAGCTCTCTTGGATGGGTCCCACCGCTAACAACTCACCCGTGTGCCGCACCTTTCCCGCAGCGTACCAACGCCCTCCTCCAGCTCCCCACCTCCCCATCCTCCTCCCTCCTGCCCTCCGTGGTATCTGCCTCCTCCTCCTCCTCGCCATCAGCTCCTCCCCACCTCCAACCCAGCTCCTCCACCCTCCGCACCCCGCCGTCCTCCAGCATGCCGGCCTGCAACACCCTCCTAAGGCAGCACACGCATCCCCGCCCCTTCTCAGCCCTTCCCCTGCCGCCCTCATTCAAGCGCCGCACAGCTTACTGCTGGTGCGGCTGCTGCAGCAGGACCCCCATCACCACCGCCGCCGCCACCACCGCCGCCAACTCCCTCAGACCAGGCCCTGCTCTCGGCCTGGGGCGCCCTGCCAGCCTTGCTCGCGGTGTGGGTGTTGGTGTCGGTTCCAGCCCCGCTTCCGGCCGCAACCCCCCAGCAACATGGCATGCAACCGCAGCCCCAGCAGCAGCCCCAGGCCCTCTCCGCCCACTCTCTAACTCCGCAGGGACTGCCCGCCAGCCGCCCCACGCCCGCCTGCAGCAGCAGCAGCAGCAACAGGAACAGCAACAACAGCAGCAGCAAAAGCAGCCCGGTGAGGCTTCCCCGCTGCCCCCTACGCCACCGCAATCCTCGCCCTCCTCCTCCGCTTCCCCATCCTGGAGAGCTCCGGGAACCTCCCTCATAAAGCCAGGAGCAGCAGCACCTGCAGCAGCACCTGCAGCAGCTGCTGCTGCTCCATGGCGTGCTCCCACCGGCACTGCGGCGTCGCGGTGGGCTGGGGTGAGGTCACCCGCAGCGGCAACAACAACAGCAACACCACAAACAGCAACACCTACAACAACAACGGGGCCAACATGGAGGAAAACAGGAGCAGCTGCAGGAGCTACAGCAGGGCCAACCGCACCAGGGGCAACGCAAGCAGCCCCCGCAGCAGCAGCCCCTACACCCGCAGCCGCCCCCACACCCGAAGACGCAGCCCCTGCTCCTCCTGCTCGCGCACCAGCAACCTCCCCCTTCGACGTGTTCTCCCTGCCCGGCATGAACGCCCTCACCAACCCCGCCGGCTACCAGGCCTCCGCGACCGAGCTGCTGACGGCGGTGGCGGCGGCGGCGCCCGACCAGCGCGCCGTGTGGGAGGCGGTGGCGGCGCTGCTGCCGCGGCTGCTGAGCGCAACGGCGCATGGGCCGTTGAAGGGCTTTGCAGTGGACTTGGAGACGAGCGGTCGGGATTGGAAGAGCGACCGGGTGATTGAGGTGGCGGTGGTGGAGGTGGCGACTGGTGGGTGCGGGTGGGGATGGGCGTTGCGATAGAAGGGGTTGAGGAGAGAACGGGACGAATACCCTGAACCTGACAGAGTGAAATCCGCTTCATGCAACCGACCGCTGCTTTCCAAAGCCGCCAGCTTGCGTTCTCAAGCAATTCCTCCGCTAACCTACGCTACGCTGCTGCTGCTGCAGGCGACGTCTTCGACACTCTGGTCAACCCCAACGGCTTCGGTCGCCCTGTCTCCCTCAGCCCCGAAACCACCGCCGTCACCGGCATCCGGCCCGACATGCTCCGCCTCGCTCCCTCCGACCCATGGGTCTGGCTGGCGCTGCTCTGCTGGATCTACCAGCGCTGCCGCGCCGGCGGCGGAGTACGACCCGTACTTCTCGGCCACAACCTGGGCTCCTTCGACCGCTGGTTTCTGGCCCGTCACCTGGCTTTCCACGGCTGCCTGCTGCCCCCCAGCTGGTGCATGGTGGACTCGTTGCAGCTGGCGCGCAGGTGGCGGGTGGACACGGGCGGTCGGGGCAGCGCGCTGCAGGTGCGGGCGCGGAGTTCCCGCGCATGTGCGCGCATGCGTAGTGTGATGCGGCCGCTTGCATGTACACCCAGAATGTTGTGAACACGCGGTTCTCTTCACATGTATCAGAGTATCACATTCCTCGCCTGCATGACATTCCGCTGGCCTGCTGCTGCTGCGCCCTGTGTGCTGCTCAACACCCTCGCAACCAACCCCAATCAATCAGGTGCTTCGGGAGCACTACGAACTGCCACTCCGCTCCGCCCACCGCGCGCTGCCTGACGCGCTGTTGGTGGTGGATGTGCTGGCAGCCATGGTGCGGCAGCGGTACCCCCACATGGTGCGGGAGTGGGTGCTGCGGGCGGCAGCAGCAGCGGAGGCGGGGGCACCGGCGGCAGCGGCAGCAGTGGAAGCAACGGATGCAGTAACGGTGGAGGCGGTAGCAGTGGAAGCAGGGGGGGCAGCAGGAGACAAGGCAGCAGTGGGGACAGCGGAGGCAGCAGTGGGGGAGGTGGATCAGGAGGCGGCGGCGGAAGCGGCGGAGTCGGCAGCCGCGGCAGCGGAGGCAGCAGCGGCTGGGTTTGGTGGCGGCAGTGGCGGCAGTGGCGGCGGGTTGGTGACGATGAGTAGCGGAGGATCTGGGTCCGGGGGCGGCGTTGCTGGAGGTGGCGGCGGAGGGGGGTGGCAGCGGTCGCTCCCGGAGGCTGAGGCGGGCTGGTTGGTGCAGGAGGTAAGGGAGGGGAGGGGCAGGAGGAGTGAGGGGGTGAAGGGACTCGGACACCGCTACGCATGCATGGGGACGTACGGGATGTATGTGCTGCCGCCGGCAACATAGGCATCCGTGTTACCTACCCAGGAGTAACCACCCGTGCTCTCGGTACTCGGTACTTTCCCGCACTGCGTCAGTTTCCAGCAAGTGAAACCCCAGACCGCCCCTCCTCCTCCCTCGTACCGGTAACCACCTCTTTCCCCTCCTCGTCTCCTCGTCGCTGTCCTACCCACCAGGCGCTCAACGACGGCACCCTGACTTGGGACGCCAAGCCCGCTGACGCCTCCTCCAGATCATCAAGATCCCGCTCCGGTTCCCCAGCATCTAGCAGCCCCATCTCGAGCACGGCAGATGTAACGGCAGCAGCTGCTGGTACTGGGACTGCGGGCGCGGGTGTGCGCGGCGATATCGGTTGTCTCCTGCCGGAGGAAAGCGCCATTAAGCTGCTGTTGGCTCTGGAGGGAGGCGGCGCAACGAAACGAGGAATGACAGCAACATCAGCTACAACAGCAGTATTTTCCTCTTCCTCTTCTTCCTCCTCATCCTCATCTTTCATGGCTGCTGCCGCAACTACTACTGCTATCAAGTCGGCAGCGCCCATGTTCGGCAACAAGGGCTGGTCTCAACCCACGTCCCCATCTCCACCCACCCACCAAGCAGCAGCAGCAGCAGCTGGACCGCCCACCTCCATTTCCTCCATGCCCTTCAGTTGGGACCTTGTGCGGGCAGCTGTAGCCGCATCGGAGGGAGCAGCAGGCGGTGGGCAGGGTGCGATGGCTGGTAGTGGCAGCGGTGGCAGCAGCAGTAGCAGCGCCGGTGGGGCGGGTAGTAAGAGGGCGGGCAGCAGCAGCAGCAGCGGCGACTGGACTCTAGCTGACATGGTGAAACATAAGACCCAGTTGGCACGAATGGAGGCGGCTACCCTCACGGTGCGCAGAGGAGGGAGGGCGCGAGGAGGAAGCTGGAGGGGATTGGAACTTAATACCTTGGTATCCATACACAGTATCTTACACCTCCGTTCTCCCCACGACCCTTGCTCCGGCCCTCACTCCGCCCCGTTGCGAGTAACCCCATAAACGTTGCCCTCCTAACCCCTACCCCTACCCCTATCCCCGCACCCCACCCCCCAGGTCGTCCACCATGGCCCCGACTGGGGCAGCTGCCGGGTTCCCTGGCTACACCGGCACCCGCCCTCCGAGACCTACCTGCTACCCGAACCGGGGGAGCCGCTGCAGCTGCCCGCTGCTCGGGGGGCGGCGGGAGGGAGCGGCGGCGCGCGGGGGGGCACGAGGGGAGCGGCAGCGCTTGCGTTGGAAGTGGTGCGTGGGGCGAAGCCCTATCTGGGAGACTGGGAGACGTTTGCTGGCTTACTTGCTTTGCGCATGGTTGCGTCTGCGAGAGAAGGGGGCGTTGCTTCACGTCGTGCTGCTCCTCTTATTCGTGCGCTACTAGCGACGTTGCTGTTTGTGGTGCTCCGCATGGTGTTTACGGTGCAGTATTTGCCTGTGTGCTCGATCCCGCCTGTTGTGTGCTCCTACGGACGTGCAGGCGGAGGAGGTGCATGAGGGTGCGTTGCTGCCCAGACGCGGAGGAGTGGCAGCAGCGGCGGCGGCGGCGGCAGCCCCTAGCTCCTCGGCTCCCTCTACCGCCGCCGCTGGCTCTGCCGCCGTGTCTGCCGCCACAAGCAGTGTCGCATGGTCCGCCACCAGAGTTGCGACATCGGTGGGAGGCGCCCGTGAATCGGAGAGCGGTACTGCTTCTCCCACGTCTGTAACGGCAGCAACGCCAGTCACGGCGAAGGAAGGCGACGCCGCCGGGGTGCCGTACAACGTGCCCGAAGCGACGGAGACGGCGACGCCGGCAGCCATGGACCCTGGCAGTCCTCCTTTAGCGCAGCACCCGCACATACAGAAGGCAGCGGCGGAGGCGGAAGCGGCGGAGGCGGCGTCTGCAGCGGAAGCGGCCGCCGCGGCGTCTGCAGCTGATGAGGTCGCTGAAGCCATAGTGGCGGCGAGCGAGCGGATATTCCGGGAGTCTTTTGAACTCGGTTTGGTGCAACCCTTTCCGGTGGTACGACAGCAGCAGCAGTCAGAGGAGGAGTTGGCCGTCGCCGCCGCCGGGCTGCTGACGGTGGCTGCTGCTGCTAAGGAGCCGGTAGCCGCCGCCGTCGGCGCTGCCGCTGCAGCGGCGGCGGCGGCGGGATCTGCTGGGTATCCTCAAGGCATGGCGCTAACGGCGCCGCTGGCGGCACCGAGGCGCCGCCGGGTCGCCGACGTCGCCGCCGCCGTTGGCGGTGGCGGCGGCAGCAGCTCCCCTGCCGCTGGCGTCGTCGCCGCTGCAACTCGTCGCTCTCGCGGCGGTGCCGGTCGCGGCGGCGACAGCGGCGGCAGTGCTGGTGAGGTGCAGGCTGCGACGCCGGCGGTGGCGGACTTGGCGGCAGAAAAGGAGTCGTCGTCGGCGGCGGCGGTGGCGGTGGCGGCTGCTCCGGGGGCCGCGCCGGGTCGCCGCCGCGGTCGCCGCAGCGTAGCAGCTGCAGCAGCGGAGGAAGCGGCCGCAGCGGCTTCTGGACGCGACGAGGATCCCACTGCAGCCGGTCCGGCGCCCTCCCCTGTTCCCACACCCGCACCCTCTCAGCCTGATCGCCTGCCATTACTCCCAGGCGAGGTGCCTCCCCTTCCCCCTCCTGGAGCCGCCTCCTCTGCCGCTGTCGCACCATCCACCACTACAGAGCCCCTCACCTCCGCCGCCGAACCGGAAACGCCGCCACCCACCCCAAAACGCGGCCGCAAACCCAAGAACGCCACACCTGCACCCACACCCACTTCCACCGACGCTCCTCCTACCCCCACTCCACCTTCACCTCCTCCTCAGCCTACCACCGGCTGGCACCTCCTCCGCACGCCCTTCACCTCCGAGCCGCACCGCTCCGACCTCTGGGCCCCGCTGCTGCCCCGCACCCGCCCGCCCTTCCTAGACAAACTCGCCGCCGCCGCCACCGCCGGCCGGCTGCCCACCCCGCATGCGGTGCTCATGCACGTGCCTCGCGCCGTGGAGCTGCATGCGCAGCAGGTGGAGGTGGCCGCGTTGGCTGCGGCGCTGGCACGGAAGGAGGAGCTGCGGGGTCTGCTGGCGGGGGGGTGGCGGGCGGTGCGGGAGGCGATGAGGGAGGAGGGGGGGCTGCCGGTGGCGCTGAGGGTGCGCATGAGGTGAGGTGGGCACTCGGATTGCTTGTCGGAGGATTCCCTGCTACTGCTTTAGTGCTTGCCTGCACTCCCATCTATTCCCCCATTCTGGTTTGGTCTGTTTTGACCCCCACTCTCCAGCACCCCTGCACATTCCAAAGGGTCCAAACCCCACCCCACCCGCCTTCCCCATGTCCCCAACCGCCTGCATGCATGCATGCAGCAACGGCAAGGTTATCAGCCTGCACCCGCGCGGCTGGACCATGAGTGCGGCGCTGCTGCTGCTGCCGGGGCAGATGCTGGCGCTGGGGCTGGCGGAACTTCAGCTGGCAGCGGAGGTGCAGATGGAGGTGGGGGCCGAGGGAGGTGGGAGGTGGGATGGGGAAAGAGAAAGAGCACAAGTAGGTAGGGGGGCCGTAGGAGGAGGGGAGAGGGGGTAGCTGCCACTACCATGCTACCCCACCGTATACTCACCACCTAACACCGACAATCACAGTATGTTCCTACTCGCGACCAGTTTTCTTAACACACCACCTAACATAAGAAGTGTCGCTACATGCTGTAGCCTGTACTTATAACCTTGCTGTCTCTCAGCCCCCAGCCCCATTCCACCGCATTTTACTTCTCACCATCCTCGCTCCCTGCTCCCCGCTCCTCCCCGCTCCCCCTCCCTCTGCTCCCCCCAGGCTGTGTGGCACGACTTTGCCAACCCGCGTGCCGACCGTGTGATGCGGGAGACGGCTCGCAACTACTGCGCGCCGGGGGCGGAGTGGGTGGTGCGGGGCGTGCTGCGCGCCAAACCCTGCTCAGGTGGGTGAGCTCCGCACAGCACAGCACAGCACCTGAGGTGGGTGCGCTCCGCACAGCACAGCACAGCACAGCACCCGCAGCGCTCGGGTACCACAGCCAGCGGGGAGGGGAGCATGGAGATGGCACCAAACACCGGCACTGATGCTGCCATGGCTGTCCCTCCTCCCAACAACACGCACCGTGCAATTCTCTCCCGTTCCCCGCGCCTCCCGTACACCCCCGCACGCACCGGCACTAACCACATGCAACTCTGCCGCCCCTCTCCCCTACGCGCCAATTTCAGCAATCACAGTACGTTTCGCCTCGCGGCCAGTTATTTTAACACACCGGTACCTCCGAACAGGTCCTCGCTTCGAGCTGATGAACCCCGAGGTGTTCCCCGCCGCCTCCTTCCAGCCCGACACCCACACCGTCACCGCCACCTACCGCGCCGCCGCACCGCTGGACCCGACGGAGGTGGCGGCGGCGGCGGAGGCGGTGCTGTCGGCGGTGGCGGGAGGCAAGCTGGGTGGGTGTTGAAGGGAGGGGGAGGCTGGGGTGGGGGTAAGGGGTGCCGGGATGCGTGTGAGCGCCTGAGCTGGCATGCATGGGAGTGTAAGGGTGCTGGAATGCGGCTAATCGCGAAAGAGGAAGTGAGCCTATCTAGAAGACCGGAGGAAGACGGCGGGGCATCAGGATTAGTGCGTGCTTCCGAACCACCTCCAACGCTCCGTCCGTTAATGCCGTTCCTTTCTCAACTTCCCAACCTCCCCTCCTTCCTCTTCCCTCCTCCTCCTCCTGCTGCAGACCTGCCCGACCCGCTGCCCCCTGCCGCACAAGCTGAGCTCCTCGCCCTGCTGGCCACCTCGGCAGGCAGCGGCAGCAGCATTAAGAGTCCCGCCCCCGCGTCCCCAACCGCCTCCAGCAGCACCCCCAAGTACAGCACCTCCCCCCTGCCCGACGTCGCTGTGCCCAGCCTGGCGGAGGCATTCCGAGTGCTGCACCGCCCCGCCCGGGAGCACCTGCTGCCCGCCAGGGTGCGACTGACCCGCGGGTCACAGCCTGCGAACACGGCTAGGGGGGCGGTGGCGGCAACCTTGGCCGCCCCGGTCCTGACTCCCTACCAGCTGGCAGCCAGGGTGGTGGCTTTCCATGAGCTGTTCTTCTCACAGCTGCGCATGCGGCAGCTGCGAAGGGAGGTCAGGTGGGTTGATTACCGTAAGAAGAAGGTGGGGTTGATGGAGCGACGTCACTTCTTACCATTATATTCCTCTTCCTCGTCTTACTCCCTTCACCCCTCTTGCTCCCCTCTCCCCCCCTCGCCTCCCCCCAGAGGCCCCAACTGGGCCCCGGTGTCCGCTGACGACTGTGTGGCCGCTGCCACCGCGGCCCTGGGCTTCACTCTCACGCGGGCGCAGCAGCGGGCGCTGCGGGAGGTGTTGGACGACATGCGTCCGGAGAGGGCACACACCATGTACCGGTGAGGGTGTGCTGTGCCCTGTGCTGTGTTCTGTGCTGTGCTGTACCTGCGCTAGCGAGCTGCATGCTTGGAACCCGGCCTGCTTCCTCTATGCCGACCCCCCGCGGGCCTTTCATCCGCACCCCTTGCTTCTATGCTCACCATCACCCCCTCCTCTTTACCCCTCCTCTTCACTTCCCCTCTTTATTACTCCTCCTCTTCACCACCCCTCTTTACCCCTCCTCTTCACCACCCCTCCTCCTCCTCCTCTTCCCAGGTTGCTTCAAGGCGATGTGGGCAGCGGCAAGACCGCCGTGGCGCTCCTCGCCCTCCTCGCCGCCGCCCGCAGCGGGCAGCAGGCGGTGCTGCTGGCGCCCACCACCGTGCTGGCGGCGCAGCATGCAGCTACACTGCGGGGGCTGCTGGAGGGGCTGCCGCTGCGGGAGAGGCGGCGCTGGGGGCTACTGGGGGGGGCGGAGCCACTGCTGCTGGCGGGGGAGCTCAAGGTGGGGGGGGAGCGGGGCAGGGGGTGGAGGGGGAAAGAAGAATACACAGTGTGTTGTGTGGAGGGTGGAAATGGGGGAGTTATCCGACAGGGTCGCCAAACCTGTACTCGGGTGACGGCAACTACCAGACCTCCATCCGCATGTCTTCCGGAGGAGCTGCAAGCTGTGCTGCACGATGTTGCGAATGTGGGCATGTGGACGCGCACAGGGCCACGACGCATGCATCGCTTGCGGCTCGAGGATGTGCGGGACAGCTACTTCATCGCGTCTGGCTCCGGATGAATGCATAGGCTAATAAGGTTTTCCGCAGCAGCTGGCTGTTGTGTGCTGCTACTAAGCCAACAAATTTGTGTGCTGCGACTAACCCAACAAGCTTGACTATGCGTAATCCTAAAATCCAGCGTAATGCGGAATCTTCATCCCTATCTATTAACCCTCACCGCTGCCTCAGGCCAAGGAGAAGCGTGTCGCGCTGGCGGGCCTCGCGGACGGCTCCATCCGCCTGGCGGTGGGTACACACGCGCTGCTGCATGTGCCGCAGTTCGCCTCGCTGGGTCTGCTGGTGCTGGACGAATCACACAAGTGAGGCAGGAGGGGGGCCTGGGGGCAGGGGGCTTGAGCCGGGGGCAAAACAAAAATGAGACGTGCAGCGAGTCGGAGGCAGGGGCGGGGGTGTGTGATGAGTGGTAGGGAATAGGTGGTATAGAGTAGGTGGTAGGGGATACGGGTAAAACAAAAGGGTGGTAGAGTGGGGGAAGGACATATGTGGGCAGTTAATGGAGAAAGTCCCTACACGCATCTCCACATATCCGCCTTTAACCGATATCCAACTGCACCACAGAACCGCCCGATGAGCCACCGCTCAACCGCCCAACCGTCAACCACCCAACCGCCGTCAACCACCCAACCGCCGTCAACCACCCGCACAGGTTCGGAGTGGCCCAAATGGAGAAGCTCTCCAACCTCATCGCCGCCCGCCCCCCTCACATCCTCAACATGTCTGCCACCCCCATCCCGCGCACCCTCGCGGCCGCAATGTACGGCCACATGGACGTGTCGCGACTGGACGAGCTGCCCCCCGGTCGTACACCGGTGGTGACCAAGATCGTACAAGACGACAGCGAGGTGCCGTACCTGGATTCCGAGGGTCGGCAGCGCGAGATGGATGTGATGTGGCGGGAGGTGCTGCGGGAGGTGACCACGGGTGAGGTGGGAAGGGTGGAGGGAAGGGTGGAGGGAAGGAAGGGTGGAGGGAAGGGTGGAGGGAAGGGTGGAGGGAAGGAAGGGTGGAGGGAAGGGTGGAGGGAAGGGTGGAGGGAAGGAAGGGTGGAGGGAAGGGTGGAGGGAAGGAAGGGTGGAGGGAAGGGTGGAGGGAAGGAAGGGTGGAGGGAAGGGTGGAAGGAAGGAAGGGTGGAGGGAAGGGTGGAGGGAAGGGTGGAAGGAAGGAAGGGTGGAGGGAAGGAAGGGTGGAAGGAAGGAAGGGTGGGGGAAGGCATGGCGCGATCGCGATGGGTATAGCAAGGTAAAGCGGCATGCACACTGACTGCCCGCCTTAATTCGCTGGCCCGTCTTGAGTCGAACCGATGTGTGTTAATGTGGGGCAGTAGCGCTACTGCCTACAAGACCGTCACTTACAGAAAAACAAGTAGGAAAGGGCAACAGGGAACGAAGGGATGAGGAGGGGCAATGGCTTGAGGGTGTGTCGAAGAAGGGCCCTGTGTTCTCCCAGTCTCGCGAATCCACCAGGGCTTGTTTTCGAGGCGGGGACTGTACGTGGCTTGGCACTCGTTGCTTCCTCAAGTTGCGCGGCGTGCCAACGTAGTCCCCTTCCTTCACCTCACCCTGAATGCGCCCACGTCCCTACACTCCCTCACCCAGACTCCACTTGCCTATCCCTCTCTCCTCCTCTCCCTCCCCCACAGGTGACCCTCCGGGACGCGCCTTCGTCGTCTACCCCTTGCGCCAAGCCAGCACCGCCAGCGCCAGTCGCGACGCTTCATCTTCATCTTCCTCCTCCGGCTCCTCCTCTCCCTCTGGTGTCGTGACCGCCGCCGCCGCTGCGGAGGACCTTAAGAACGCCACGGAGCAGGCGGGGGTGCTGGCGGCCATGTTTGAGCCGCATGGGGTGACGACGCGGCTGTTGCATGGCAAGATGAAGTCGGATGAGAAGCAGGAGGTGCTGGAGGTGGGTTGGGGGGGTGGGTGGTGGGGGGGTCAATTTTTGGACCAATTAAAACCATAGAAAAACCAAAAAAGAGAGAAAAAGCAGGACTACAGGTTAGCTGGGGAAAGCTGAACAGGTGTGATCCTGAGGTGTGTCCCTGTTGGGTGGGAAGGCGTACGGCGGGTATGTGGGGTACCCAAGTGCCGTACACACCCTGCACGCCACCCTCACCCCCCCACGCCACCCCTACTCACCCCATGCACCCCCTGCTCTTCCGCCGTCACCCCCTTCCCGTCCTTCATCCGCCCTCGCAGTCCTTCCGCCGTGGGGACGTGCGGCTGCTGGTGTGCACCACCGTGGTGGAGGTGGGGGTGGATGTGCCGGAGGCGACGGTGGTGGTGGTGGAGCATGCGGAGCGCTTCGGCCTGGCGCAGCTGCACCAGCTGCGGGGGCGGGTGGGGCGCGGGGGGCGGGGCGGCGCGTGCTACCTGTGTGTGCCCTGGGCGGACGAGGCGACACGGAGGCGGCTGGGCATCATGGAGAGCACCACGGATGGTAGGAGGAGGGAGGGAGGGAGAAGAGGGCAGGGGGAGTGGGGAGCAGGAGGGCAGGTGGACAGGCGTATGATGCTCTGGAGCTTCATGGAGCATCTGATGGCGGGCTGGGAATCAGCGGGCTTGGAATGCCTGCAAGCACCTCCTCGCCTCGTGTTCTTCTTCGACCTCGCTCGCCGATACCCTCCCCCCTTATGGTTCGCTATGGTCTTTGACCCCCCTTCCCCATCCTGCACCTCTGAGCGAGTTCCCCCATACACCTTACCCTCCCTCCCGCCGCTGCTCCCATCCCTCCTGCCGCCGCTCCCCCTCCCTCCGCAGGTTTCACGGTTGCCGAGTGGGATCTGGAGCAGCGCGGTATGGGCCACATGTTCGGCTCCGGAACCCGACAGCACGGGCGCATGGACGTCTCACCGCTCACGGAGGCGGTGCTGGCAGGCGGACTGGGAGGAGGAGGGTTGGGAGGAGGGCAGCAGGCAGCAGGTGCGGGTACGAATGCGGGTGGGAGTGTGGTGGGGGGTGTGGAGTTGGTGGAGGCAGCTAGGAGGGCGGCAGCGGCGGTAGCGCGGGAGTGGGAGGAGGAGCAGGGAGGGGGAGGTGTCGAAGGGAGCGAGGAGGGCGGGGAAGCAGCAGGGGTGGTGGGGGGGCGGCAGCAGGTGGGGCCCCTGTGGGAGGCGATGGAGGTGTTCAGGCCGGCGGCTTTGAGCGCGGCGGAGGGGCTGATGCTGTGAGGAGGAGAAGGGAGGAGGAGGGAAGAGGGAAGGAGGAGGGCGTTGGTATCCCAGTAGAGCTCGGATGGGGTTGTGAGGTCAGCTTGAGCTGCAGAGTCATTCTTAAGCCTTAGCGCATGTGAAGAGAAGTTCAGATCGCACCGCTTCTGCTGCCGCTTAAGGGCGTGCCGGTCGTGCTCTTGGTCTTGCCCAGGGTTTTGCAGGAGTTTAGCAGATGGGCGCTTCGTCCAGTTCACGTAGGAACGGTAGCAGGGAGAGAGGGAAGCCAGTATGAAACCGTGTCAGGCGTGCAAGGGACGGTCGGATTTAGTATGCCAGTAGGTGTTTATGTCCGTGCGGGCTGAGAGCAGGAGTGTCAAAGGGCAGCAGTCTGGAAGAGTCAGGATTGAGTTGGTTGGCAGGAGCAGGCTTGACGCGTTGTGCTGTTATAAATGTCTTTTGGAGGAAGGGACATCGAGGCAGGTTGGCGGAGGCGGTTGGCCCTGCGACGCTGTGCCCTTCGCAGTTCGCCTACCAGACTGCATGTCTTGAGCTTTGTAGTGCAGACGTTATGAACTGTGAAGCTGCTTGAGCTGCAGGATTTAGCCGAGGTGCCGAGCTGGTTCTTCGCATTGCATGTTGTACGGCGCATGGCGTAGCCCAGGCGCGAGGAGAACGGGAGTCTCCGGAGCTGGCATGGCTTGTGTTATATGTCCTTACGTGTGCCTCGAACAGTTTGCACGGACATCGCAGGCCATCGCAGCAACTTTTCACAACATGCCGACGAGAGAAGCGATAATACACGATTCGTTGCCGCTTTCTTCTGAGATGTAATAACAATAACTGCTTACTGCACCCAGTTCCAAGTTTGCTAGTGCGGAGTATACTTGTTAAAACGGAAGGCGGTTACCACGCAGAATGCTCGGGCCACAAATCTTTCCTGAGGCCCAACCAGGCTACGTGTGTTGCACTCCTTACTACATCGGAGTGAACTCAATTTTCTTGCCGCTTATTCCCTATACTCTCGCCACCGCGCTTCATGACACACACCTGGAAGTCGCCCTTGTCCTCGGGACCGCCTTCAGTGGTGCTATTATTCTCCTTGGTCCCTTATTGAAGCTCGCTGGTGGCTATCGGGTAAGGTCTTGCTCTGGATCGGCTCAAGCCCCCAACCCACATTCTGTTTGGCATGCTCCTCGGACCCAAATCGGTGGCCGACCCTATTGATGTATTTATCCTTCAAGTGCACCGCCGGCACATATACGACGTACGTCTTTCCACGGCTAATGCGTACCGCTACGGTTTGCCCCAAATCGACAGACATGGCCACGCGCATTGGAGCTAGCAATGCTGGTGGTCAACGCGGTGCTGCTTGGCGTGTCGTACCCATACCCCGACGAAATCGCCAAGTACCACAACTTCATTTCCAACTCCATCTATGCAGCATTCGGCGTTGTAAGTTGTTTTCACGAACCAAGATTGCAAGCCGTACGCGTGCGTGCTCCCTTTGCCCCAGATGTGCCGAGAACCTTGCCGACCGATTTCCTACACGGCCAAGCACGGAGTCAAGGTGCAGCCAAACACTCAGCCACATGAATTAAAAAACTTTAAGAGCGCTCAAGCAGACCTCCGTGTTTCCTGGTAACCCCACCATCCCCTTCTCCCTACCTTCCCCGGACCCCTTCCCTCCTTCTCCTTCTCCTCTCCTTCCGCAGCTTTCCATCATGTTTGGAGCGCCCTTCACTCGGCAGTACGTTCGCGAGTTCGTGCCGCCCTCCGCCGCGGGGCACGACAAGGTCTCCCGCGCCGCGCACGTCACCAGCGGCGGGTGGATCCTGGTCTTCGTAACCAACACGCTGATCTACCTGGTGGGTTGGTCTTGGAATGGTGGGGTGGGATGAAAGAAGAAGGAATGAAGCCCTGCGGGACGGGGTGGGGTCCTGGTGGGGTATGCAAGGGGTGCGGGGCCGCGGCACGCCTGACACCAGATTACGGCACAGGCTGCAAAGGGCGTTGCGGGCTGCATGGGTGTTGGAAGCCTGTTGGATTGCCGGTCTCGTACAACCAACAGCCTCTTAGAGCGGCGGCCTCTCTCCTGTTTTCACAACTCCATCCCGTCCCACCCACCCATCCGCAGGTCCCCGTGTGTCGCAACCGTGAGCAGCAGCACTCCCACGCACTCAACCTGGTCTTCCGCATCATCCTGCCCATCTTCCTGGCCCTCTTCGCCGCCATCTTCACGCGCGTGTGGCCGCTGCGGGTGCTGAACCACCTGCTGCGCTCGCAGGGCTTTGACGCGGCCCCGCCCGCCAAAATGATGACTAATCCGCTAGCCATGACGCGTAATGCTACAGCCCTCACGGCCATGGCTACTGCTCGCGGTATGGGCTATCCGCAGCAGCAACCCATGATCCTCATGGCGCCGCCGCAGCAGCATCATATGTTGCAGTACCCGCAACAACAGCAGCAGCAGCAGCAGCAGCAGCAGCTAATGTTGATGCAGCAGCAGCAACAGCAAGCGACCGTACCGGCGGCCAGCTACGGCGCAGCCTCTGCTACCAATACTGCCACCGCAACTCCTGCTGCTGGTGGTAGTGGTTTTGGCGGTCAGCAACACTACCAGCATCATCAGCAGCTTGCTCCCGTCTGGCAGCAACAGCAGCAGCAGCAGTTGCAACACACGCAGCAGGAGCAGGCGCTGCAGCAGCAGCTCATGCAGCAACAGCTGCAGCTGAGGATGCAACAGCAGCAGCAGCAGCACTCGGCGGCAGGGGCGCCAGGGCCAGGGTCCGGGCCTGCCGGGCTGCCACCACCGCAGCAGTCGCCGCACGTCAATTACGGTAACTACGGCGGCAGTCCAATGCCCACCCCAGGGGGCACTGGCACGTACATTGGCGGTAGCGGTAGCAGGATTGGGTGAGGGCAGCCCGCGTCAGCTTACAAAGGAGGCAGCAGGCGGCGTGTGAGTAGAGAGGGCAGGAAGAAGCATGTTTGCACTGTGCTTGCGACGTTGGTAGTACATTCTTTGCGGCATGTTTGCACACCTAGCACGCGCCGTGCTAGGTTGGTAGCCAATCAAACAGCAACAGCAGCGATGACAAAAGCAGCATGCACGGCTTTCTGCAGCAGGATGAGGCGGCGGCGGCAGCAGCACATGACACGGCCCCACACGCTGCTGCTGCTGCTGCTGTTGCTGCTGCTCTCCTCGACACGCAGCCGCAACAAGCAGTCGACACAGATTACCATCGCAATCCATCACCCCCGCAGCCTGACTTCAACGGCTGGGCAGCACCCTGGAGCCCTCCTGGCTGCCGTACTGCTGCCGTTACTGCTGCCGTATTTCTGCTGTCCAGGATGACGGTGGCGACATGTGCTGCGGGCTGCTGTTCCTCGGACGTCCGTACGTACGTACCTCTGCAGGATCACCCCCGTGACCGGTGGCACGCAGCAAGACAGCGACGGCCGCGATTCGGTGTCAGCACCAGCACCAACATCGGCAACAGCAAGCAGGATGTACGTTCAGTTACCCCGTATGTCCCCTTCGTCGCCCACCTCCCGCACGTTGAAGTAACGGGAGCCGCAATAACTGCAAGTTACGGTGCATTTGCGGGATGTGCAACGCCCTGCCGTACGGCTCATTCTTGCCCCAAAGGAGACCCCCGAGCAACAGGCTACAGCCCGGAGGAAGGACGCTGCACTGACACGACCAGCTGTTGCACACTTTGCATGTTGCCAATGTCTGTACGCCAATGAACCATGGGTCGTTGGGAGCCGGTTGCAGGAATGGGGCTCTTGACGTTTTGGCGATGTTGAGCAGGAAGCCTCGTGAAGAGTGGGCAGGTGGTGTTTAGGGACCGCGCCATTGTTAGTCAAACAGTGGCCCCTTTACTTTAGCCGCTGTAACCGGCATGCGGCTGGCCGTGCCCGCTCACCCTGCTGGGTACGGCACAGGAGCTGTGATGCACGGGTACCGGTATGTTGAGTTTGCTTTTGTGGCGGTAGCTTAGGTGTACGGAGGCACCCTTTCCCGCCATCAGTTTAGCTACTGCTGCGGGTAATGCTGCGGGAGGCAAGGAGAGCCTTTGTGATAACGTATATGCGGAAGAGTAGATAGAAGGTACAGGCGCGCTCTGAGCTTGGTGTGAGAAGGATGGACTGCGCTCCGACTACTACTATCCTTGCGCGACCCGTGGGTCGTTTCAGGCATGGGCCTTCCAGAGTTGCTTACAGAGCCCCTTATTAGCCATTCACAAGTGGGAGAAGGGGTAGTGTGGTATGTAACATCCCGTGCCTTTCCCAGACCGCTTCCGCGTCCCGACCATGCCACGTCTGTGATACTAACCTCGGATGTAAGGGTGCTCGTTACCCATGGCTCCCGAAAGTGATTCTAAACCATAACCCAGCGCCTGTTTGCTACCTTCGTGTTGTTTGCGGTCCAGACAAGATTATACGGATCTGTCCGTTCTATTAACCTAATTACCGTTTCCATGCCAGGCAGGCCGATAAGTTAACAGCTTTACGCGGTGAGGACCGCATCCCAGCACGATGTGGTCCCGTAAGCATGTGCCGCAAGGGTGTTTCATGAACACGTTAGATCCTCTTGCGGCCATACGTATTCGTAAACAGTTAATAATATCACAAAGTGCAACAAGCCGAACTCCCGGTAGACAGTAAGCGGAGCAAGTTGGGTTCGCATCAACTAATGGCTGTCGTGCCCTTGGACGGCAGGTGCGTGAAGTTCCGAGCGGCGTCCAGGTATCCGGTTACTCCTGAAATACCAATTCCTTCAAAAAGGAGGCTAACCACAAACTGCTAATATAGTTGTTCCGTTCTTGCGTGGCGGCATAACAGCTCCAAACCAGTTGCTGCAAGAGATTACCGAACGAACAATGGCTGAACAGGGCTTCTCCCATCCAGATCAGCCGAAGCAGCTTGACTCGGAACTTTGGCTTGGCTTGCCGCCAGAGCTTCTGATCTCCATTGTGTGCTTCCTGCCAGCCAACGAGATTGCGCTCACAGGCCGCCTCATCAACAAGGCTACTGCTGCGCACTTCCGCGGCCCTCAGTACACCACCGTCCGGCTATCACAGCCTTCTCCTCCGCACGCCTTCACGCAGCACTGGGGCAGTCCGGGCGCCATGCGGGGCCTGACCCTGCAGCAACGCCGGCAGCTGCTGTGCCTGACAGCATCTTCCGGCAGCCTCCCTAACCTTCAGGTGGCAGCAACCCACGCGGGGTGCGTCCTGGCGCCTGATGTGCTCGAGGCAGCAGCAGCCGCTTGGAAGCTGGAGGCATGTGAGTGGCTGCGGCAGCGAGGCTGCCCCTGGGGTGACGCTCTGGCTGCAGCTGCAGGGGCCGGGAAGCGGGCGGCTTGCGAGTGGCTGCTGGCGCAGGGCTGCCCCTGGATTCGGGAAGCTGTGTACGCTGCAGCTCGAGGGGGCCACGTGGGCCTGATGGAGTGGCTGCTGCCGCAGCAACCGGAGGGAGTTGATGAAGTCCGCAGCTCAGAGCTGCTGGAGGCAGCCGCTGAAGGTTGCGACCTGGCGGCACTGCAGCAGCTGTACAATGTCTGGGGGGGCGAGCAGCTGGGGCAGCACAGCAAGGATCTAATCCTCGCAGCCGCTGCCGGCAGCCCCATCCCCGACTGGCAGGACAAGGTGCTGTGGCTGGAGGAGCGGGGCTGCACCAAGCTCCCCCATGCATGCGACGAAGCCGCCACATGCTCAGATGCACTTAGCCGCCTGACGTGGCTACAGCAGCGGGGCTACCAGCTATGCCTGTCCGTGTTCATTGCGGCGGCAGAGCAGGGCGACGTCACTCTTCTGGACTACCTGTGCAACGAGCTGCAGCAGCTGAACGTCATGGGCGCCAATCTACAGACCGCTGTATGGGGTGCAGCACGGTGTGGCCGCCTGGCTGCCTTGCAGTGGCTCCATGCCCGCTTTGACCTGCTGGGCTCCACTCGTTTTGTCCTTGATTCTGCTGCTGGAGACGGGCACCTGGAATCAGTTGCATGGCTGGTGGAGGAGGTGGGCGTGAACTTGACAACCACCGTCTGCACCAATGCAGCCTTGTCGGGCAACTTGGAGCTTCTGAGGTGGCTGCGGCAACGCGGCTGCCCCTGGGATGAGAACACCTTCAGCCATGCTGCGGAGGCAGGCTGGGTGGAGGCGGTGGAGTGGCTGGCGGAGCAGGGCTGCCCCATGGGGGTGGGTGTGGGGAAGGTGGTGAGGGGGGGTGGGGAGCTGCAGCACCCATGCCGTTTAGGTGGTTGTCAGCAGAGAAGTATAACGGGCCGTCCCTCCCTAGGGCGGCCTATTACCCCTATGTTCTAGATAATTGACCCGACGTGTCCCGTGTTCCCGGCCTCATGCTCATTGTGACACACCATAGGAAAGCGGCAAAGCCTACGTGCATGCCGCCTGCAACGGCGACCTGGCCACACTGCGCTGCCTGCGGCGGCTGGGCTGCCCCTGGGGAACACATGACACCTTCACCACCTGTATCAGTGAGCGTTCCCCCCTGGAGGCGCTGCGCTTGCTGCTGGAGCTGGGCTGCCCCGTGAACTGGGAGGAGGCAGCCATGATGGCGAGAAGGATGGCGAGAAGGATGGCGAGAAGGATGACGAGAAGGATGACGAGAGGGTACACACGTTGGGCTGCAGGACACCAACAGAGGGTACTGGCATGGCTGGGCGAGCAGCAGCAGCACCACCAGCACCAGCAACACCAGCAGCAGCAGCAGCAGCAGCAGCAGCAGCAGTAGTAGTTGTCTGCAGCTTTGCACTGCACTGCACTGCACTGGATCCGCACCAGCCCGCATCCCATGCAGTGTCTGTGGGAGGTTTGCCGTGGGCGGTGAGCTGGACGCGTTGCTTGCTCTGCTGTGATGAGCGGTACCTGCTAGAGGCAGAGATGGTGGTGTGCGGGTAGCGGGCGAGGTGGGGCCTGGTCGGATGGCTGTAACTACTACATACGTCGAACAGGTTTCCTCTGCTGTGACTCGGTCGGTTTCTGCTGCTCTTAGCGACTGCTGGCTGACATGCATGTGGGTGGGGGTGTTGGGTCGGGGCATGGGACTGCTGAACTTTGGGCTGGATGGAAGGGTTGCGGTTTACGTGTGTGTTAAGGAAACTGGCTGCAAGTCGGAACGTACTTGTGTGTGCACCTGTTTAGCCTGTGGGCTTCATACTTCCGTTGTTGTGTCGGTTACCCAACACCATGGTTGTTGTTATGGCGGGGGTCAGACGTTTGGTGGGGCATGCTGTGGCAGCCCGTCCAAGCAATGTTTACATCCATAGCAGCAGGCGGGGCAGAGGCCTGATCCATGTCGTTAGGGTCTTGTCCCTATGTGCGACATAAAATAGTGTACGGCAACACGTGCCTGTTCCGTACTTGCTGCGGATTTACGGCAATCGTGTATGAACGGCAACACGCATACGGCGGTATGCGTTTGGCGCGGACGCGCCTGCATGGTTATGGCCATGGCGAAGCGAGTGGGATGTAAAGGACGGAGCAAGACCTTCCGGTAGTTGGCAGTTACCTTGTATCGTACATGACGTGCGCGGTGCTGTGCCCACCCCCTGCCAGCAGTGTGCCATTTTTAGGGTACTGTGTGCCATTACTTGTCTACACTGTCCTTGATGACCTCTCATGTATGGGCGGCGGGTGGTGCGTGGTGCTCTCATCGCCCTTTCCCTTCATTCAAGCACTCACCCGCTACCTTCCTTGCTCTCCCATCAAGCTCCACTGTCCTTTCCCGCAACCGCACCTCCTCCACCTCCCCCACGTGCCCCGATCCGAACATTTTGCTGGCCCGTATCGTCCTACCCACAACCCTCACGCTCAAGCAACAACAAACCAACCAACAACTAACAAACCCTCCTCCGCGCACGTGCCTCGTTACGCTGCACCCCATGGCCGCCTCCTTCTCAGGAGCTCCTGCACCACACCAAACCGGCTTTCCGCTGCTGTCTGCTGCCAATTACTGCTGCCCCTGCTTCCCAACCCTAGCTCCTGCTTCCCCTCCTCCTCCTGTCACCCCTGCTCCTGGGGCGTGTCCCTCCTGTGCCGGCCCGCTGGCAGGCCCGGTTCCAGCTGCAGGTCCGGGTGTGGGAGCGGGAGCCAGCATGCGCTCGGGCCGCACGGCTGCATCGAACTGCTCGCCGCTCAGCAGCCCCAGCGCCAGCGCCGCCTGCCGCAGGCAGTAGCCCTCGGAGTGCGCCTTCTTGGCAACCGCAGCAGCGGCCTCGTAGCCTGAGGTGGGAAAACACAAGTCCAAGCAAGGCAACAGGGAGAGAAGAAGTAGGTGTGGCGCAGCAGGGCGGGAGGGGGCCAGGGAAGCCGGCGTCCATCCTTCTCCCCTAATCCTCTCCCGATGTTGAACCCTCTCCTCGCCTTCACTGTGGTGTCTCTCCATCATCTGTGACCCCTCGTCGACAGCCACCACATGGATGGCTTCCCCCCTAATAACCTGTGGTTTCCTATGGTACGGTCTTTGACCCCCCGCCCCCCCCCGCCCTCCCCCACCTATGACCGGGTTGAGTGCGGTGACCAGCATCAGCGACTGCCGCACGTAGCCCGCCAGCCGCACCTCGTCCGCCCGCAGACCCACCACCAGCTTGGAGGTGAAGGAGTCCACCTGGCGGCCGCCGGGGGGGGCGGAGTGGGTGGGGAGGCAAGAGCAAACGAAAGCTAAGAAGGGAGCCGTCGTTGTGGACACGCCTCTCATGCATGGCAGCCCTTGCCCCGCTGTAGACCACAGGCGTGCCCCCAGCAGCAGCAACACAGCGCACCTACCACAACCAAGAACCAACATGCAACCAGCACGCAACCCAACACACCAGCCGCACCCACACCCACACCCTAGCTGCACCACCCTGCACCCTGCTTGCGGCTCGTTGTAAAGGAAAAGAAGAGGCCTTTGCTTTTCTCCTGCACCCTCCCATGCAACTATCGGTACCTCAACCCACCCGCCCCCTCACCGCATCCGCCAGCAGCCCCCCCGACCGCAGCACGGTTGCCGCCATGAGCGGCTTGTAGGTGTTGAGCTCGAAGTGGCCGCCCGCACCCGCCACGCTGACGGCGGTGTGGTGGCCCATCACCAGCGCACACACCTGCGTCAGCGCCTCCACCTGGGTGGGGTTCACCTGGGGGGGAGGGGGGTCAAAGGTCATACCATGGGAAATTATAAAACAATGGGAAAGGAGGGGGAAGAAGGTGCGAGGGGTGGAGCGTGAAGCGTGCGAGGGGTTGTGGGGTAAATACCGGTATCTTTGTTTCGTGCGCGGTCAAAAGGAAGGAGAAGAGCAGAAGACATGTATTCGCCTCATCACGTGTATTCGTCCTCCTTGCCGGGCCCCCGGG